TCTGTACTATATTTGTCGGCGCTATACTTTTGGGTGTTAATTAATGGCGCAGGGATCTATTATACAAGCTTATTTATAGTTCTTCCACTAGCATTATCTATTTCTTCGTTCTTGGTGCTTCTTCTGCTTCTTTATGCCCCCCATTTTAATTCATTTATGCATTATTAGAAGTAGCTATTTTCTTCTTGTTAGTTTCCGTGATCTATAGTAGCTGTTGCCTGTTGGTCTTGTTATGTACAGAACAAAACTTCATTGCTAGTGTAATGTTAATTAATATAACGTATTGAATGAAGCAAGGTATCGGCAAGAGTTTGTGGGGGAATGAGTCAGTTTCTTTGTTTCAGTTAATTTCTGATTAGCAAATTTTACCTAGTTGCTCTGCTTAATATTTTGTCTCTCATTTTGACGTTTCATGAATCGACTAACTTCTCTTGCCTTGTTCTTTGTTTTCTTCTTGTTTCTCTTGATGATCAAATAGATACAAGAAGCTTCTTTGCATGGTGGATCTTACAAGGGACTTCTTTTTCAGCTATTCATACAATGTTATGCATAGTCTTCAAAAGAATTTATGTAATAGTGAGACAGGAAAGCTTCATTATGAGACCATGTTTGTCTGGAATGAATTCTTGACTCGAGGAATCAGACAGAGCCTCAAGAACTCTACCTGGACAGTGGCACTAGTACACGGGTTCTTTAAGCAGGTTGGTCTACTGTTTTCTGGAACTATATGCATCTAAATGCTTGTGAAATTTTGGATTTGAGGCAGAATGTCTCATGAAGCGAAGATATTTAGAAAAGCTCGTTCATGGTGGTCATTGGTTCAAGTCAGCTGGCCATGTCCAAATCTAGAGTGGGGCCCGAGATCCTTCCTACAGTTTTCCCTGGGTAGGATAGCGGTTCCTATTCAATAAAAATGGTGGCAACATGCTTTCTATATATGAAGCTATTATATCTTGTTTATGTTAGACAGAAATGTTCCATATACGAGGTTGCTGAACCAATTTGGGTAGTTTTGTAACAACTGTAATCTTTATCCTCCTAAAACTTGTACCAATATCACGTTGCAGTTATCTAATAGACTGATCTTAACCCCTTTTTTTCTGGTTGCCATTCAGGTGAAATTATCGGTGTCTGGAAGGGACTTTAAGCTGACTCTCATTTCCAGACGGTCACGGCATTATGCTGGAACAAGGTATCAATTTTATCTTTACCTTTCAAACTTCATTCGAAACCAGGCAGGGCAACTTACTTCTTATTAGCAGCTCTACAAGTAACAGATGTAGTTACATGGCTAAATGTACTGCTGATCGTAACCTAACTTTGTTATGAGATTGCTTTCTCTCTCTCTTGCAGATATTTGAAGCGTGGGATAAATGAGAAAGGAAGGGTTGCTAATGATGTTGAGACTGAACAAATTGTGTTTGAAGATTCTCTTGAAGGGCATTCAGTCCAAATAAGTTCTGTTGTCCAGAACCGAGGTTCAATCCCACTTTTCTGGTCTCAGGAAACTTCAAGATTGAATATCAAACCAGATATTATACGTATGAATTGAAACGCCGAACACTGAATTACAAACTCTTTACCTTCGGTGCATAAATTTCTTAAGTCTTGATTCTTGTTCTCGTCCACAGTATCAAAGAAGGATAAAGCCTATGAGGCGACTAGGCTCCATTTTGAAAATCTTGCAAAGAGATATGGGAATCCTATAATCATTTTGAATCTAATAAAGGTCAGTCTCTGCAGTTTGAAAACGGAAGCTTTCAAGTTTTTCCTTTCAATTGTATTGGTTTATATTTCTTAAATCACATTTGTTTTTTTCAGACACATGAAACAAAACCCCGAGAAAGTATACTCCGAGCAGAGTTTGCAAGTGCAATCAGGTTTCTCAACATGAGCTTACCGAAGGAGAATCGCCTAAGGTTCCTTCACTGGGATTTGAACAAACACTCTAGAAGGTACTTGTGGCCCACCCTTTTAGCTTGATTTCATTATGCTCACTTTTCTTTCAAGTATATGATTAACCCAAGCTGGATTGTCCGCTGCAGAGGTACCAACGTATTGTCACTTCTTGGAAGAGTGGCTGCATATGCTTTGAACTTGACGGGCATCTTCTATTGTGAAGTCTCGTCTAGTCCGAGACGTGAGGGATTACTAAATGATGTCTGTTCGAAGGAACGCCATACAATTGAATGTGACAATTCGAGCGAGTCTGGTCCAGTAATCAACGACTTAAATAACGATGATAATAAGGAAAACAAGGTCAAGGAACCTACTCTTCAGAAGGGGGTCTTGAGGACCAACTGCATAGACTGTTTGGATCGCACCAATGTTGCTCAGTATGCTTATGGTTTGGCGGCTCTCGGAAAGCAGCTGGATGCACTCGGGTTTGTGGAATTCCCAAATATCAATCTGGATAACCCATTAGCAGAGAATTTGATGCGCCTATATGAATTAATGGGTGACACTCTCGCTCGACAGTATGGAGGGTCCGCTGCGCACAATAAGGTAGTCTCTAGTTTCATGTTTTGGAGCTTCATAGCGTCCTCTTGAATTTTGAGCCAGTATACATTTGCCGATGTTAATGTAATGCAGATATTTTCTGAGAGAAGAGGTCAGTGGAAAGCTGCAACTCAGTCCCAAGAGTTCTTCAGGACTCTACAGAGATACTACAGTAATGCATACGTCGATGCTCAGAAACAAGATGCTATTAACATGTATGTAAAACATTCCTCTCTCTGTTATTTATTTGCGTTCCATAAGTATTGAGCTGATATCAAATGGTTGCCTCTCTCTTTACTATTCTTTTGATGTTGAGCAGATTCCTGGGCTACTTTCAGCCGCAGCCAGGAAAGCCAGCACTGTGGGAATTGGACTCGGATCACCATTACAATATTGGAGGTCGTAATCCTGATTTGCGTGTTGAGAATGCCAGGTTGGAATTGCTCTTTCTTTTCAACTTGAAGCATGCATGGAATCTGCTGCTGAAGCATGATGGTTATGTTAGAACGTCTACCATTCAATGTGCAGGTCATTGATTAAGAGATCAATGTCTGATGGAAATCTACTATTTGAAAGTGAAAGTGACTCAATTGAGACGCATACCAGAGTTGGACAGAATTTACTCTTGGTCGATAAACAACGAGGCGGTGATAAGGGTTTCTCAGACTCTTCCCCCGAGATCTCGACTTGTGATAGTGACCTGTCTTACTCCAGGTCTGCCCTCGAATTTTCTTGTGTTATGTTGACTCTCCAATGGTTCAGTTCATAGAATTCCTTAGGTAGACTTCAAAGGTTTATCCTTTTTCAGGTTTAATCCATCGATGACTCCCAAGCAGCTCTTTGAAGATATAGAAGAAGACCAATACGAAAGTTGTCCCATTTATTACGATGAACATGGGGATACGAGTAGCTGCTCAAATTTCCTCGATCTAGAGTGGCTCTCTTCATCGGGGAATTCCTGTGATGAAGATCCAAGCGACAGGTAGCTCTCCCTTTTGTTCTTCCAAGTCAAATATCTGGGTGTATCCGAGTAACCTTTCTCCATATTTGGTGGCAGGTCTGTTGCTGGTCTGTCGTCTGAGAATCTTGTGAATGAAGCCAGAACAGAGATGTCTTCTGCTGCAAGTGACTCCGGCTCTAGCTTGCTGGTGAGTATCTTGTTTCTTAAGTCTCAACTGCAGTAGGAGTGTGTCTCTCCTCTTGGCATTTGCTCGACACCTGATTGATTCCTGTTTGCTCGTTTTGCAGGGAAGTTACCGCGCTGGTAGTAGCGAACTCGGGTGCAATGAGTTGGTCGGTTATTCACAGCGGTTTGTTCACTGGGTAAACGATGGCGTCACCATGTTCCACTGAAATGACATTTCGAATTTTGACTCGAGCTTCCCTCAAATTGATTCCCATCCTAAGGATGTGGATTCACGGACAGAAGAACACAGAAAATAAGAGCAAGAGTTGGGTGCACTCACATACTACAGCTGACGTCGTCGTGGCAGGCATTATCATATGTCGATAACAGTTCCAATGAGCATTGGCTTGTCTGAGTTGTGAGGATTGCCGGTTCGATAAAGGAGCTGCCACAGTCTCGTGATTCATTGGGACTTTTTAAGCAGTAAAAGGATCCCCCAGAAACAAGAAATCTGGAAGCAAACCGCCTTGTACATAGTTGCTACCATTAGACCTCCCATTATAGTGTTTCAGAAATGAATCTGCATAGCAACAGTTGATGATAAGCTGACTGAGGTATACTATTTCGTCCGGCTGAGATCTGGACTTCAATTTACTTATGGCTACTCTGCATAACCTTATGGCTACTCTGCATAACCTTCATGGCATGTCTTGTTTTAAGATCCCTAAAGAAAATTGTCGGCGGTTAAATAGTCACGTGGCTAGATTTTGGTGGGGTTCGGCAGATAATGTGGACCATCCAATCCATTGGGTTTCCTGGAAAAGTCTAGCACATAGTAAGTTATAGTAAGTTTCTAGGTGGTCTAGGATTCAGGGACTTTGGTGCCTTTAATCAAGCTCTGTTAGCCAAACAATGTTGGAGGATCTGGAAGAATCCGGATTCTCTTCTGGCATCGATTTATAAAGGTCGCTATTTTCATCATGGGTCAATACTAGATGCTACCCTAGGTTCCAAGCCCTCTTGGGGATGGCGTAGTATCTTGTTTGGAAGAGACCTCCTTCTCCAAGGGTTAAGATGGCAAGTTGGAGATGGACAAGACATTGTAGCCTTCAAGGACAAGTGGGTTGCTTCTGAGAAACCCATCACTCCTTTGGTTCGCCTTCCGAATATAACGAACTCCCCGAGAGTCTCCTTCTTTATTAGAGGAAGTGGAGGAGAGTGGCATATCCCAAGGCTTCAATACTGTTTTGATCCCATTACTGTTAGTCTTATTCGCAAAACTCCTCTTCCTAGATGTCAACAAAGAGACACAAGAGTCTGGCACTTTACAAAAAAATGGCGCCTATACAGTTAAAACGGGATACCACCTGGCTTTAGAAATTTCTTTAGTCTCGAGTCGGAAACCCCTGGTGCAAATTATAGATCCCCCTATCTGGAAGAAAACTTGGGATATTGTGGTTCCTCCAAAATTAAAATTCTTCATCTGGCAATGTCTAAGAGTGATTCTTCCAACTGTGGTAGCACTTGAGTCTAGAGGGATTAATTGTCGTACCCGATGCCCGGTTTGTTGGAGAAGTCCAGAAAGTATTGAACACTTATTCTTTAGATGCCCCTTGGCCACCAGATTGTGGTCGCTTATGGGCCTAAATGACTTTATTACCTCGGCCCCGACTGTGAATTTCAGTCTCTGGTGGCAACATGTTACGCTTTCTGAGCACCCCCAAACCCATGTTCCTCTGTACGTTTGCGTATTGTGGAGAATTTGGAAGTCTCGAAATAAGGTGGTTTTTGAGCATTTACAACCTCATGCCCAGTCTTTAGCCCGCCAATGTTTTTTCCATGTCCGTGAAGTCTCTTCTTCTCTTCCTCCTGCGCCTGCCCCTCCCCGCCATCCTCCAAGTTCTCGCCTTCTCTCCTGGGTCCCTCCTCCTGATGATTTTTTGAAGATCAACTTTGATGCTGCGGTTCGTGTTTCCGGTTGTTCGTCTGGTCTAGTAGTTCGTGGAGCAGACGGGCATGTAGCTTTGGCAGTAGGGTTTCAGCACTCCGACATGACTGATCCCTACCTAGCAGAGCTTCTTGCTGCCAGAGACGCCATTTCCCTGTTGGTCTCCAAGTCACTACCTCGTGTCATCATCGAAGGTGACTCCGAAGTGGTGGTTCGTCAGCTTTGTCAGGGTGCTTCTTCTGATTCCCTAGGAGGACCAGTGCTTAGGGATTGCTTCCTTCTCCTTGCTTCTGTTTCTGTCTCCTTAGAGTTTAGGGCAGTGCCTCGGTCTGCTAACAGGGCTGCCCATAGAGTGGCGCAGAAAGCCCTGCTTCTTTCTCCTCTTGAGTTATGTTCTTTCGACTTTGTTGGGTGGCTTCATTGATGTAATAGGTTGGGAGGTGTTCGGGTAGTTTGTATAGTTCTCTCTTTTGACATTTCTTGGGGAAAAAAAAGTCCTAAACTAGAAGAGAATTACTTGGTTGCCTGAATAAGATTGGTTCTTTCAGTCGCCCAGGAACAAGGACTGCTTGGAAAGAAATGGACATGGACGCTTTGGTCAGTTCCATTAATCAGAGCACCAGAACCACCATTGTTGGTGTTAGGAAGAACATAATTGATATAAAGGAGAACGACTCCAGAATTTAAGTATAAGCGATCAGAGTCGCTTTGATGCAGCAATTGTCGAGAAGAAAGTAGAAAAAATCGATCTTGTATTGTAGATTGATCAATAGTTTCGGCAAGTAGAACCAATCTGAGTGATCGCCTCATAATTTCAACCTAATTACTGGAAATCTGATTCAGTGACGCAAGCTAAAATCATCCTAGTATTATCGACACAATAGTCAAGGAATATGCCACAAACGAAAACAAAGAGCAATTGACGGATTCAAGCCTTCCGAAACCGAAGAGTATGAAGATTGCAATGCAAGAAACAGACATACACTATCAGGAAGCATCACCAAAACCTTACTTCATTGTCAAAAAAACGCTCCCCGCAAATTGGTTTCTACACTATCATTACTGAGACCAAACCAAAAAAAAATAACTGCAAACAAAACATTCATGCCTAGAACTGGGAGCTTTAAAACGCTGATATTTGGAGTAATAGAACATGTGAATCACAGCTACAGATTCCAACGGGAAAGAACAGCTTTACTCCCATCCTGTGGCTGCAGATTCGGTGGCAGCTGGAAACGGAGAAGGAACGGCTGGTACAGTTTCCCAGTCGCCGCCTATGGGTGCAGCAGCTGCAAAAATCAAAGCCAGGGCAAGTCAACACACAACTAACAAGACAATTATTAGGAGCGGGAGGTGACTGGTTTAATGGAAACTTCAAGGAAATGCTAACCTTGATCGGGAAAGTAAGGTGCTGGAACACCAGCAATAGGAGGCTGAGCTGCATCAGCGGCCCACTGAACATCCCCAGGTGTACTCCAGTCAGTCAAAGGTTGGTAATCAGGAGCAGTGATCCCATACTCTGCAGCAGCAGCAACTTCTTCCTCTTCCTGTGGCTTGGCTTCTTCAGGTTCTCTGTAGAAGAATAGGTCAACCTGCACAAGAACAGAGAAGGATATAAACAAAGATTTATGACATACAGCGAAATCTGAAGTAAATAGAAAGAAATGATTTACACTTGATGTTATACCATGATATCCCACTTGTGGCCTTGGGGAATAGTACCACGCATCTGCAAAACCATACGTGCCAAAATCCAGAACAAGCATCCAATGCTGTGCTTTCCCTTGTTGTTGGCAGGAATGCCAATATCAACGTATCTCATGGGGGAGTCAGTGTCACAGAAGGCAATGGTAGGAATGTTTCCAAGAGCTGCTTCCTTAATGGGCTGCAATGCAGGCTCAAATTGTCAGCAAAATTAATCAAATGAAGTTGCCCAAATGTAGGCACAGAATGGGGACAACAATCACCTGATGATCTGTCCTCGGGTCAGTAAGGATCAAGAGACGAGGCTCGTTGAAAGAGGTCTGCATCTGGTTAGTGAAGGTACCAGGGGTATGCCTACCAGCAATGGCATGAGCTCCAGTGTACTGAGCAAACTTCAGGACGGCTCTCTGACCATAAGGCCTAGCAGATTGGACAATGATGTCCTGAGGGTTCTCAATGCCTACAATAACCCTAGCAGCCATATGCAGCTTCTCCCATGTCTTGCCAAGATTGATGATGTAAATACCTGACCAGAGAGTCAACATTATTACGACATCAATAGACTGAAACTCGGAGCAAAGAAACCAAATGGTACATAGTTTGACCATCAAATTGGATTCTGCCTGACCCAAATTAGCAATCAATACATCCAAACCACTGGTAATTGAGTCTACTTGATAATAAAATGAACTGGACAACCCATGAGCCATATCTTCTACGTTTATACTTCTCCTAAGTTCAATCGAAGAGTCAGGACTAACCAACCCAGATTCTGCTTGAAAACAGAATGCTGAATTACCCTAAGACAAATCTACAGTTGGTATTGATCAAACCCTAAGTAAATCGCCCAAAACATAACCATTTTCGCTAAAGCGCAAAACTAAGCTGAAATCCACAGAGAAGCAAGATAAGAGCCAGATTAAAGGGCATAACGCCTATGAAACCAGGACAGCATACGGAGTTTATAGGCCACGTCATAAAGCAGAAGGATCCAACACTAGGTTTTCAGCAGCTTAACATGTCAACAAGAAAAATGGAGGACAAAGGTAACAACTTAACTCGATTGCTACGCTACATCAATCTATAGTGAAAGGAACGAGGAGGACTCGATTTATACCATCATTGCGACGCTTGAAGACGTATCGCTCCATCTGGAAATCACAGTTCTTGGTTCCGAGATGGACCTCGGCGGCCAACATCATCTGAATGTCCAGCTCCTTAGCCGAGAGGGCGCGAGGAGGAGCAGGATTAGCAGCCGCCATGGTCGCGAGATGGAGAGCAGATAGCACGGAATTGAACACCAGGAAGCACAGACGGCAGAAAATTGGAGACGCAGCGGGATGAATCGACGAAGCTAGGGGTTATATGCAAGGCAAAACCTAGGGTTTCCTACATTTACTGACGGGCTGAACCTTCCAATGTTTTCTGGGCCTTGTCTCAACTGAGCCGGCCCACTATGGAGACACAAGCTTTTTGCCGCTTGAGACAATACGCAACAAAAATATTAAAGCATCTTCTTGTTATGGTTGGTTGTAATAATCATGGTTGTCACACCCGTTTCCTCTAATCAGGTTCAAATTCAATCGGATACAAATAGTATCGGTCATCAAATCGACTGGAAAAGAGTTCGTATCAAGCCTTAAATAAACCCAGTTAATACCTTAATTTCGGACAAAACCGGATATATTGATCAGTTAAACGAGAAAAGAATTTCATATTATGCGATTTGAATGAAGTTCCTCATGTTCACTAGTTTCAATTATACACCAATAAAAAAACTCTTTTGTCTAGCGAGAGTTTCGAAACTAGGGTTCTCGCGATTGCTTTAGATTTTCTTCAGCCTTTTGGGATTGACGGCTGTCTTGATTCATAGAGTTTCTCTATAGTGTCTTTCACCTGCTTAGATCCCTTTACAGCCTCCTGCAGTAAAGGATCTAGAGTGAGAGTTTCCTAGGGGTGTTGTTAGAACCCTTTGGGGTCTCGTCTTTTGTCTGAAACCCTAACCTGCCACCTGCCTCAAGCGGTTTAGGGTAAGGGAGTGATATTTTTGTTTTTTCAGCAGTTTTTCTGAAAATCCCGAGTTTTGAGATGGACAAAGAAAACCCTATTATCGATAACCCCACCAAAAGTTACAGAGGTGGGGAGTGGTTCGATGGCAGAAGCGACAACGGATACAGACGGTCAAGGAAACATGGCCCGGATAGTTTATGATAAGATTTAGCATATCAAACTGGCGAATGACGAAGCGCTGGTGGTGGAGGATGATGATATTGACTCGGCTCTTGGTCATGCGGTCAGTCTGCTAGGGTTGACTGGTAGATCGTGTCCTCCAAGAAACCAAACCCGAAATCAATGAAAATGGCTATGTCAAAGGCATGGAACTTGCAACAGAATTTCCAAATATCAGAGTCTGGGGACTAACTATATGGTTTCCAGTTCATGAACAAGAGCGATCATGATAAAGTGCTCTTCGGAGGACCCTGCATTTCGAGAATAGTTTGCTAATCTTTAAGCAAGCTGAGGCTTTCCAACAACCAAAAGTAGAGGACTTTCATATCATGGAAATATGGATGCAAATTTATAATCTCTCATCAACATTGCAGACAAAGAGATGATACACAAGATTGGAGTAAGATTTGGCATACACTTATTTGGTGGATAGTCGAAAGGAATGTGTCTGTAATGGTGTACTCAGGATAAGGGTGGGTAAGGACATCTGAACCCCACTAAAAAATGAGCTCACACTTAATCTCAAAGGATCAAGACATACCTATGACGTGAATTATGAAAACCTCCCTATGTACTGCTTCTCTTGCAGAATGGTGGGACATCCTAAGCTCTACTATCCTAACCCTTCACCAACAGGGCATGATTTGGTTGAACCTGAATTACGGGTGGATTTGACAAAACCGAAAACATGGTAGAGCAGACTAGAAGGAGGAGTTAGGGGACCTATGGCAGGTGTCAGAACTGAAGCGTGCAAACGATAATCCAAAGTTCCACAAACGAACACAAATTTAACGTGGTTCACTAACACAATGTGTGCTAGCTAATCCACGGGCAGGGGAGAACAAATTTCACTGATTTGAGGAGAGTACAGGTTACAAACCAAATTCCAAACGGACAAACCAAACAAACTAACCTGACTGACCTTACTACAGACTAGGGTGATGAAGAGTATTTATAAAACTCTTCTCCTAATCTCAAACAGAAAATCAAACACATTTTCCCTAACATACAAGGAAAAGGTCAAAACAAAACCCAATCTCAAACCCAAACAGAATAGGCCTAAAACACAAAACAACCCCAAATCAAATTCAAGTCCTATTCTAATAATCTCCCCCTTGACTTGAATTCTCTCTCAAATACCAGATGTACCAGACGCAACCAAGGTAGCCAGATGTACCCAGACGCGATCCATATCGCCAAACTCAAACGCGATGCAAATCGCCAAACTCAGACGCAATCAGAAAATTGCCAAACGTAGTAACTCCTCCAAATCAGCTGTACCAAAATCTCCCCTGCCTCCAAATGCCCCTAAGGGCGGTGAACAACTCAAATCATTTGGCAAGTCCAACCCATGTTGAGACTTGCCATTCAAAACCAACTTGGTGCACTTATCACCAACAGAACATGTCAAAACAGAACCTTGTAGACCATACAAGGCACCAACCTTGACACCTTTCAAAATAACCTTAGAACCCTTGTAGACATACAACACTCCACCTTCACCTTTGAAACTGAAACCCTTGCCGTCGAGTAGACTCAAAGATATCATATTCTTAGTCATCTCTGGAATATGCCTAACATTGTTCAAGGTGCGAACATAACCATCATGTGTCCTCATCCTGACGGAGCCTCTTCCAACAATCTTATAGATAGCACCATTAGCCATAGAGACATGTCCTCCATCTATCTGTTTATAAGTTGAAAAACACTCCTTGCTTGGACACATATGATAATCAGCTGCAGTATCTAAATACCACACATCCTGATGATGTACCTGTTCATTCATGGCTAAGGCTAAATTATCTTCGGAATCAGGGTTAGTTTCTTCCGCCACAGCAGCAGATGATTCCTTCTTCTCCTGATATTTCTTTAGTTTAGGACAATCGAATTTCCAATGTCCTTTCTCCTTATAGTAATGACAGATATCATCCTTCAAACCAACAGAATTTGAATTTATGTTCGCCTTCTTATTACCAGATTGTTGTCTCTTACTACTCGTAGCAGCCAACCGCCCAATCCAGATGCCTGATTTTTCGAACCAGAACCAGACGCCTTATGTTGAACCTCTCTAGTATGTAGAGCAGATCTGACATCTTCCAAAGACAAACTATCTTTCCCAACAATAAAAGAATCCACAAAATTCTCATATGACTGTGGCAAAGATACCAACAGAATTAATGCAGCATCCTCATCATCTACTTAAACATCAATATTTCGCAGATCTAACAAGATAGTATTGAGTAGATCTAGATGATTCCTGAGATGTACCTCCTCCATACGTAAACCGAACAAACGTTGCTTCATATGCAACTTGTTGGTTAAAGACTTTGTCATGTATAGACTTTCAAACTTCAACCACAAACCCGCGGCATTCTTCTCAGCAGCAACCTCAGTGATGATGTCATCAGCCAAACAAAGTAAGATTGTAGAGTGAGCTTTCTCTTCCAAAGTACTCCACTCTTCATCTATACTTTCCTTCTTCGATTTTTCAGACAACGGAGCCCACAAACCCTGTTGTTTCAACAGTGCTTGCATCTTGATATGCCACAAACTGAAATTGTTTCTTCCGGTAAACTTCTCAATCTTCATTCTGATAGCAACCATTCTTACTATCAAACAAACTCCAACCAAACTTTTCATCAAACAAGCAAGACCAAAACACAACTACCCAAAGTCAACTTCAAAGTGATTCCTCCACCGAACCAAGCTAAAGAATTGAAAGCTACCTCCACAAAGCAAAACTTTAGTCCAGCGCCAAATTCCCAAAACCGCAACCAGACTCTGATACCACTTGTCAGAACTGAAGCGTGCAAACGATAATCCAAAGTTCCACAAACGAACACAAATTTAATGTGGTTCACTAGCACAATGTGTGCTAGCTAATCCACGGGCAGGGGAGAACAAATTTCACTGATTTGAGGAGAGTACAGGTTACAAACCAAATTCCAAATAGACAAACCAAACAAATCCTATGTTTGGCCCGACTTTTAGAATTGCTTTTCGAGTTCAAAAGCTGAAGCAGGGCCAAACACCTCTAAAAGCTCGGCTTTTGAAAAGACAAAAAGTGCTTTTGTATAACATAAAAGCAGAAGCTCCGATTTGGAGCTTCTGCGAAAAGCTGTTTTGAAAATACAAGATTATCCTTACCATGTTTTAATTTTATTTCAGAAAATATAATTTTTCATCATTTACATCATTTTAAAATTAAAATAAATTATAAAATTATATTATTTAATGTAAAAAATCTAACAAGATGCATTTTGGCTACTTTTTATTGTTTTGAATTTTTATTCATATTTTTATATTATAAGTCCTTTATAGTCATTTTACACAACAACTTATATTAAAAAGCACTTCTAATAGTTTTACAGCCAAACATTCAACTGCTTTTTTTTAAAAGTACTTATCTAAAAGCTCCAGCCAGAAGTTGCTTCTGCAAAAGCTACAGCAGGGCCAAACTAAGCTAAACTAACCTGACTGACCTTACTACAGACTAGGGTGATAAAGAGTATTTATAGAACTTTTCTCCTAATTCCAAACAGAAAATCAAACACCTTTTCCCAAACATACAAGGAAAAAGGTCAAAACAAAACTCAATCCCAAACCCAAACAGAATAGGCCTAAAACACAAAACAAACCCAAATCGAATTCAAGTCATATTCTAACAGCAGGCTCTAAGGACCAAGTTTGACAGATAAGCATTGACAGCGAGAATGCTGCTAGAGGAAGCCGAATACAAAAAGAAAAGGAATGATGATAGTATTAATGAGGTCCAACGAAGAATATTGGTGGAAAAGGTGATAATTGATCCGGCTAAAGAAAAATAGAGGAGGAAAGATAGAGGTTTGCCTCTATAATTTGTTGTACTGGTAAGGACCAAGTTTGACAGATAAGCATTGACAGCGAGAATGCTGCTAGAGGAAGCCGAATACAAAAAGAAAAGGAATGATGATAGTATTAATGAGGTCCAACGAAGAATATTGGTGGAAAAGGTGATAATTGATCCGGCTAAAGAAAAATAGAGGAGGAAAGATAGAGGTTTGCCTCTATAATTTGTTGTACTGGATTTAACCATTTTGGTTTGTTTTTAATACAAAGGATCCAATTCAATAAAAAGAGACATTTTCATGAAAATATATATTTGCATTTATTAAAATACAACTCTATAATAATAAATATTATAATTAGAATATATAAAAAATATAATAATATATTGATTACAATGTCTCCAACGACCGACATCTCTCATTGCCAAGATCATAGCCGCCAAGTACTATAAGAATTGTTCTATATTGGAAGCTCGACTGGGAAGCAAACCAAGCTACACGTGGAGAAGCTTGCTCAGTGCACAAGACTTTCTGTGTGCCGGCCTTCGTTGGCGAGTGGGTAAAGGTGCCAAAGTGGAGATTTGGGGGGACCAGTGGCTCCCTACAGAACTAGCTTTCGTCCCCTCAGCCCCGAGACATCTCCCGGTGGACGCAATAGTTCGAGACCCTATCGACTCCGCAACGGAAAGCTGGGACCTTGATTTGCTTCATAATTTCTTTCCTGATCCGACTGTGCATACTATAATGGTCATCCCTCTTCGGGGGAGTGAGGAGCAAGATCGCCTCGTATGGCGTCATAGTGATGATGGCCGTTATTCTATTAAGAGTGGGTAGAAGTAATGGCTAGCGGGTTTTATGCAGGAGGAGGGGATTGGTCCACGGGGTGATGAGAAATTCTGGAAGGCTATTTGGACCATGAAAGTCCCTCCCAAAGTTCGTCATTTTTTGTGGAAGTTCTCCAGGGATATTCTCCCAACAGGAGTGAAAGTGGTTACAAAGAACCCACAACGGAGTGATGAATGCCCGTTCTGCGACCAAAAGGAAACCCAACACCACCTGTTCCTCGAGTGCAGTTGGAGCAGCCAGATAGGGAGAGGATCACCGTGGGAAAGCGCGTTTACTGTGCATGGATCGTCGGACTGCATGAAATTGATGGCGGAGGTGATGAAGCATGAGAGCTTGGACCTGGAGGAATCGTGGGCTATGGTACTATGGGCGATATGGAAGGAAAAAAATGCACATCTATTTAACGGCCCCAAATGGCCAGAGGATGAGATTTTACAACGTGCACTTTCAATTCTTGATGACTACAGGAAGAACCAAGGCCCCGAGGAAGCAGTACCAGGCGACGCGTAGGAGGAACGTTGGGAGAGACCGGCGGAATGGTGGATCAAGATCAATACGGATGCCAGACTTTTGGCTAATGATGGGATAGGCCTGGGAGTAGTTTATCGAGACCATCGGGGGTGCTTTCTTGCTGCGGCAACGAAGATGGTTCGTGGTTCCTTTGGAGTGGAAATGGCAGAAGCGCTGGCGGCAGAGTTCGGAGTCCAATTAACGCACCAGCTAGGTTTCCATCGCTTTCAGCTTGAATTGACAGCTTGACGTTGGTTGAGAAAGTAGTGCAGGCTCAAGATGTGCAGACCGAGATTGGAGTCATCTGCAAGCGGATTTCTCGTCTTCTACAGGAGCAGACTCCGTCCCCGGGAAGTGTTAAACATGTAAGGCAATCGGCGAATAATTCAGCACATATCATGGCTCACTACGAGACTAGTTGGGATAGCAAAGAAGTGTGGCTTGATAATCCACCTACTTTCCTTGTTGATCAGTTACAGCTGTATTATGTAACATTTTCCTCCGACTAATTGAATTACAAGTTACCCGTAAAAAATAAAAAAAACAATCGCACAAACCCTTTTGTTTCTTTATTTCACAAGAAGTTGTTGAAAGTTGAAGCACCCTTTTGTAAAAGAAAACAAGTTGAATGACCTAGAACAGAATTCCTCTTTTTTTTTTTTTTTTTTTTTTTTGTCTCGCACAAAATTTCGCCTGTTTGATGCTCTCTCTAGAGTCTAGACTAGAGTCTCTTCCCATTTGCTGCCGTTACCGTCGGCACTAAAACCCTAATTTCACTTTCCCCATTGCTCGAGTAAAAACCTTAAACCCAAATCTCCCGGCCGCCCCTATCACATTTCAGAATCACATCGCATATGCAACTTCAGCAATGGCGATAAAGAAGTCGAAGAAGTCCACCGACGGCGACACCAATAAGTCCAGCGATGCAGACCTCCTGAAATCTGAAGTCGCTTCTTTCGCTTCCTCGCTCGGCCTCGCTTCTTCCGCTCCCTCCTCTTCCTCCGGCTTCAACGATGTCGATTTTCGGAAACCCGCCCATCCCAAACCAGCTCAGAAGACCTCCAAACCGAATGTTCGATCGGATAAAAGCAAAACTCCCCAGAACCAGGAGAAGAATTCCAAAAACGAGAAACCCGCCGGAGCCCAGTTTAAAGCCAAACCAAAACCTCCTGTTCTGACGCTGGACGACGCAAACAATACCAGAGCAACATCGGTTGAGAAGTACAAGAACCTCCCCAAGCTGCCACTGATAAAGGCAAATGCAGTGGGTGTGTGGCACGTGGATGCTGCGGAATTGGAGGTGAAAGTGCTGGGAGAGGCTAACAAGAAGGTGGAAGTCAAGATGAGCGTGGAGGAATGGAAAATGTTTGTGGAGAAGAAGAGGGAGGTTGGGGAGAGGTTGATGTGGCAGTATGCACAAGACTATGAACAGAGTAGAGGGCAGAATGCTGATATTAAGATGCTTGTCACTACTCAGAGGTCTGGTACTGCTGCTGATAAGGTCTCCGCCTTTTCTGTCCTCATTGGAGATAATCCCATGGCTAATCTGCGTTCTCTCGATGCACTTGTTGGTGAGTGAAAGGCTATCTCGATTGTTTGCGAAAGAGCATTCTTTGACTAATGAATTTGCAGTTTTGTGATGAGTTCATCTCTTTCTGAATGGACGCCAATCTTTGTTTTGCAGGAATGGTGGCATCAAAAGTGGGGAAGCGTCATGCGTTGTCAGGTTTCGAAGCATTGAAAGAACTTTTTGTTGAAAGGTTACCACTTCGTTCCTTTTGGGTTTCATTCTTTTCCATTTCCATGCTGTATGCAGTTGCCTTAGTCTTTTTGTTGTTTAAGGTGTCAACTTGTTGTTCATGAAATTTGTGCTCGATGTTGTTTACTAATGCGAGCCTATTAACCGCGAATTGTTCTTCAGTTAATGCTAAGTGTTAGTTGACATCTAAGTACCCGATTCCTAATATATCCGAGAGCTTGCTAATGTTGTACAAAGAAGTTCTTCAATTGGCTTCTGTTTCTTCTCTCATCAACAATTGATAGCTTCCTGCAATTTGCCCTTAAGTCGTGTGATTGAAATTGCATTATGACTCTGGTTTACTCAATCACCAGTTTGCTTCCTGATCGTAAGCTGAAGACACTCTTGCAGAGGCCTCTTAATGATCTTCCCGAGACAAAAGATGGTTATTCCCTTCTTCTCTTTTGGTATTGGGAGGATTGCCTAAAACAGAGGTTGGCTTCTTTTTCTTCCCTCTTTGTTAATTAAGCAATCGATTGCTCTAGTTGTTTGCTGAGGCGGAAATTCATGAGCTTACTTCGACTTCTCTCCTTATCATCGCCTTAGGTATGAACGTTTTGTTCTGGCCCTTGAGGATGCATCCAGAGATATGCTACCCATACTAAAAGACAAGGCTTTGAAGGTTGGTATTTCCATGGGATGTCAATGTATATGTTTATTCCCCCCCCCCCCCCCCCCCCCCCCCCCCCCCCCCCCCCCCCCCCCCCCCCCCCCCCCCCCACTTCAATGCACAATTATTTTCCCCGATTCTCTTTTTCTGTACCAGTTTTGCTTGCATTGAGGAGCTGTTTAATTCGTTTGCATGTATATATCAATAGTCCGTGATAGGTTAACGTGATATCTTTGCTTGTGACCTTGATGTCTTTAATCCCAGAGCATGTATATGCTGTTGAAGAGCAAATCAGAGCAGGAGCGCAGATTGCTCTCATCCTTAGTGAATAAAGTAAGTCTGAGTTTAAAATTCAATACATTATAAAGTTCAACATTTTGCATTTCAAACAGCTTCTAAGTTCGAGTTTTTAATTCAATAAGGTTGGTTCTCTTACCTATAGTTTTAACCATATTAAAATTTCAATTATTTGTGCAGCTAGGTGATCCTCAAACTAAGGGTGCATCAAATGCGGAGTATTATTTGACAAATTTGCTCTCTGATCACCCCAGTATGAAGGTGGACAGCTTGAAGCACCTTATCTTCTCTATTTTCTCATGTGCTTATCTGCCATTTAGCTGACCGATTAGACTGTTCTTTTCTACAGGCTGTAGTCATTGACGAAGTGGACTCCTTCCTCTTTCGCCCTCACTTGGGCATGCGAGCCAAATACTATGCCGTATGTCCTTTTCATATCCTTTGATTTGATTTCTTCCAACTGCTATTCCGGACAACCACTTTATCTCTGCTTCCCTTTTGCAGGTCAACTTTTTGAGCCAAATTCGACTAAGCAATAGAGGAGATGGACCGAAGGTTGCAAAGCGTTTGATAGATGTGTACTTTGCATTATTCAAGGTACCCAGGATTTCAAGAAAGAATGCACCTTTTTATGTGTACTTATTATATTTCGGTTACATAAATATATGGGTATATACATTTTTCAAGGCATATGATATTGAACCATCTTCTTCTCAGGTGTTGATCACTGAGGCAGGTGTTAGTCAGAAAACGGATAAAGACAGCAAAATTGAAGATAAGAGTACTTCTGGTCCTTCTAGGGAAGGGAAAGTTAAAGCTTCACAAGAATCTCATATTGAGATGGATTCACGGCTTCTTTCAGCTCTTTTAGTGGTAAGTTCAAATCCCCCTCAAGTCCCTCCTGGATTCACGTCAAGATGATGCTTTTCGCTCAGTGCTGCTTGCAATTCATGCTTTCCTTTCTCCTAATCTCATCAGGGGGTCAATAGGGCGTTTCCTTATGTTTCAAGTAACGAGGCTGATGATATCGTAGAGGGCCAGACACCAATGCTCTTCCAGCTGGTAAGCTTTTCTGTGTGCTAGTATTTACCCAATAAAACGAGAAAATCAATGCCATCAATGACCTTGGTATTTTAGCTTTGAAGGCGATTGATGCTTTGTTGATGCAGGTTCACTCCCAAAACTTCAATGTAGGAGTTCAAGCCTTAATGCTCCTTGATAAAATCTCTTCCAAGAATCAGATTGTTAGTGATCGTTTCTACCGTTCCTTGTATGCTAAGCTTCTACTTCCAACTTCCATGAATTCCTCCAAGGCAAGTAATTAGCCCTCCTCTTTTGTCATTTAAGCACTTAAGTATCCCATTTATGCAAGTGAATAACTTCTATCTTCCTCAATTGTGTTCTTCAGGTGGAAATGTTTATTGGCCTAATCCTCAGAGCCATGAAAAATGATGTGAACTTGAAGCGCGTCTCCGCATTCGCAAAGCGCCTGTTGCAGGTTAGTTGTTATATTCCACTCTCGGTTGCATGAGGGGAATACTTTCAACTACTTTCCGACTGTTTGTGTTCGGATAAGGGTTTGATTTCATAAGTGCTTGAACAGGTTGCTATGCATCAGCCACCTCAATACGCTTGTGGATGCCTGTTTCTACTCTCTGAAGCTCTCAAAGCGAGACCCCCTCTATGGTACTGAAGCTCGATCTCGTATGCTATTCACCCGTTTTGCTGGGCGTGACATTTTATTTTCTCATTTCATACACAACCCATGACGTGCAGGAATATGGTGCTTCAGAACGAGGCCGTGGATGAAGAAGATGAGCATTTTGAGGATGTCGTTGAGGAAAACGACAAGAAAGATCCTACTGATCTCCCTACAATGGATGAAAGTATTGAGAAGGAAGACCATGAGCATGAATCTGACTCTTCTTCCGAAGATGAAGAAGAAGGTAAGACTGTCGCCTCAAGTTCTGACGACGACGATGATGATGATTCAGACGATGATGCTGGTCAACTGCTAAGAGTAGATCATTCAGAAAAAGTACAATCGGAACCGGAACCTAACAAGGATGATTTAAAAGCTGATACTATACTGGCTAGAGCTCCCTTGCCAGGGGGTTACGACCCTCGCCACAGAGAGCCATCTTACTGGTATTAAACCTTCTTTACAAAACGAATGAATTGTCCTTGTGCTTTGCCTTTGTTTTTGAGCTTCTATTTTCTTGGTGGAATGCACAGCAATGCTGACCGTGCCAGCTGGTGGGAGCTTCGAGTACTCGCTACCCATGCCCACCCTTCAGTAGCCACCATGGCTGGAACGCTTCTCTCTGGCGCCAACATAGTCTACAACGGAAACCCTCTAAACGACCTGTCGCCGAGTGCTTTCCTCGACAAGTTCATGGAGAAGAAACCGAAGCAGAAGGAATGGCACGGCGGCTCCCAAATCGAACCCTCCAAGAAGGTGGGTTACTGTTTTTGAATGCTTCCCGGTTCTTGATAAGCTCCATTCTAGTTGGATTTGTGCGTTTTTATTGACCTTTGTTATCTCCCTTACGTCAGCTCGACATGGACAATAACCTGATCGGGCCGGAGATTCTGTCCCTGGCGGAGGAAGACGTTGCTCCCGAAGACGTGGTGTTCCACAAATTCTACGCCAACAAAGCCAACAGTACGAACCCCAAGAAGCAAAAGAAGAAGAAGAAAAAGACCTCTGCGGAAGAGGACGCCGAGGATCTGTTCGACGCGGGAGATGGCGGCGCTGATGATGACGTGGCCGGAGGCGACGAGAGCGACAACGAAGAGATTGAGGAGCTGCTGGACGCTACATTGGATCAAGACGACAGCGGTGAGTATGACTACGATGATCTGGACCAAGTCGCCGGTGAGGATGATGATGAGTTGGTGGGTGACGTTAGCGATGTTGACATGGAAGCCCTGTCGGATGTCGCCGAGGGAAAAGACGATAGCGACATTGAGGTCGGAGACGCTGATTACGGCGATGAGGATGAAGAGGAGGCCGTTGATACGAAGAAAAGACGACGGCCAGGGAAGATCGGCGGTGGTAAGGGTGCTTCCCCGTTTGCGAGTATTGAAGAGTACGAACATTTGCTGAGAGATGAAGACGATTATGGAACTCCCAAGAAGGAGAAGAAGATGTCCGGCAAGAAGCCAAAATCGCGGAAGAAGAAGCAGAAAACTACAACTGACTGATTGATTTCAAACATTTATGATACATTACAGATGCATTGTACACCTTAATTTAAGCTCTTGAACATTTGAGCGGAAAACAGAGGAACAAGCTGAGCTACTGGTTGCTAGAACAACTACTACTATGGTGCAGGCGTGCAGCTACATAACATTGGTGATCAGTTTCAGGAGAATGCCACTCCACTGTGAAGTTCATTGCAGTAAGTGTTATTCCAACACTTGTAATGACAACTAATAGAAAAAGAAGAGATTATAGGTACAATATGTAACTGGTTCCACTATGAAGTTTTATCAAACATGTCATACACTATTTTTTAACATCAAACATGTTCATGTACTTTGGAAAAATGATCAAGTATGCACACTCTATAACATCGCGATGATCTAACAATCAAACATTGATCTCGTGTTTACATGTATAGTAGCATCCAACTAAACAAGCGTAAAAAGATTTAAAAAATAAACACTATCTTGGTCTAATAATAGCTCATTGATGAAATAGTTAGAATAATCATATGAAATCAAGTAGAATTTGATAGAAGAAGAAAATGTATCAAATATATTATAGATAGAGAGTCTTATCAGAAATACCCGACACTTAGACTTTGCTTGTCCCCAAGTAAACACAACCCACAATCATACAACTCAATGAACACTAAGAAGCATCAATCATCAATCGAACCTAATCTTACGTGGTAAATCAAAAGTGAACTATTCGGTTTAATAATATTCAAGTATTATTAAATTATTTATCAGATCTATCCAATATTTTTCTATAAGCATGTGCATCAATCAATAAACAAGATTACATAAACTTTATCTCGAAATACCCTACCATTCTTCTCCCCTTTCCTCCCAATTTCTTCCTCAAATTGCTAGTTCTCCTTCTAAACCTCTAAATTCCTAATTCAATTCGATTCTCAATTATCATAACCCCACCCGAAAACAAACAAGATCATTGGATTCCTATCATCTTTCCACTTCAATTTCTGGCTTTCCCATTAATAACGGATAAACATTCCTGAAAGCCAACTGTAGTGTACGTGTGCCAAATTGCAATGGAGATCCCAAACGCACTACCGTACTATCAGCCTAAGTCTTATTAGCTGGTTGGCACCAAAACAACGGGCCTCAGGCCTGGCCTCCCAATCCATAAGCCATCCGGGCCCCCATCGTCTGGGCCCACTCTTCACATCCTTTTTATACTTATTATTATTAAAAAAGCAAAACCGTAAAAAGCAAACAAAAAATTAGGGCTGGGCATGCGGGCTGGTCACCTGCTGGGTTTGGGTCGATCCGTTTGCATTTTATCCGAATTTCGTTATGTGGATGGGTATGTGGGTGATTGTCGGATTGTGCTGGGAGGCATTCATTGGGTGGCGGGTGAGTTGTGGGCGGGTGTGCGGGTGACCCGCTCAACTCAACAACAAAAAGAACAAAGTCGTTGGCGCTGGAGAGTGGAGAGATATTTCGAATTCAGCTGGATGATTGATTTAGAGACGTTGACGGATACTAGGGCTACTCCTAGATTGAATCTCAAAGCCAATCTTCCAAAATTTGACTTCCCTCTTCTTCCCTTTGTTTTTTCCTCAGATTCTTGTGCCCAAATTACCTCTCTTTCCTCCATTGAATTATTTTTCTTAGTTTCTTGCACCCGATAATCATCTCCATCAATAGGAAACTCCTCCATAATAGAATTCTATCCATTTTCAGAGCTAACTCGACATTTTTTCTTCTTATTCCATCTTCTTGTTTCGCCCGATAACTCTACACCAATTATCTTGTCACTTGAAGTGAATCTCAAATTTGGAGGGTGACTGGATGTTGAAATTGATTTTTATTTTACATATTGACATTAAACAGGGAGGTTCTGAAATATAAATATATCATGTCAAGTTGACTCATTTATATTATGCACATTGTAATGTGGGTGAATCTGCAAACCAACCTGCATCATCTGCCATCCACCCGACCCATCTAAAAAATATATATGGGTGGGTGGTGGGTTAAAAATTGTCAATCCATTTAAGTGCAAATGGGTGCATTTCACGGTGAAAAATCAAAATCCACTCCACCCACCAATGCCCACCCTTCCAAAAATCATATAAATGGGAACCTTCCCCTGCCTCCTTTCCTTTCCATTCCACCACCACCCTCGACTTTTTTTGAATCAAACACTCTCCACTCTCGTCCTTTCCCATTCGAGAACAGAGAAAAAAACGTTTCGATGGCGAAAGTAGGGAAGCTAACGAAGCTGAAATCCGCAATCAAGAAGTGGCCGTCTTTCTCCGCCGCCAAGCAGACCTACCACCATCATCACGAGCAGCAGCAGCAGGAGGCGGAGGCGGCGGCAGAGTCTGATGAGCCGCAGAAGATTCTTCACTCTGTCTACGTCGGGAAGTCGCGGCGGCGGTACCTTTTGACGACGGAAGTGATGTGCCATCCTATGTTCCAGGAGCTGATGCAGAGGTCCGGCGGGTTGGACGCCGACGGCCAGATCATCGTCGGGAGCGAGGTGGTCCTGTTCGAGCATTTGCTTTGGATGATCAACGACCAGATCAATGGCGGCGGGGACAGAGATTCGTCGTCACAGGCCGGGTCAATGGAGGAGCTGGTTGATTTCTATTGCTGCTAGCTGGGATTGCTGATAACAGAGGAATAAAGGGGGGAAAAACAGAGCATATTTCTATATGTTTAATTGTAAATTGAGTAGTAGCTTATCAAACGTTTTGGCGGATTATGGGTAGAGTTATTTTGGATTGATGAGAGGGAAGAACCAACCTTTTCTCCTCTCTCTGTCTCTTTTGGATTCTCAATCTTCTGGGTCATTTGGCTTTAGGGGCACGAATGCTTCTCACTTTGTATTAGTGTTTAATTTGAAATGTACTGATCTTTTCTTAATCTGCATTTTCAGATGTTATCGTCCTTCATCAATAGCTTCAATCATGCTATTTTTCAGAGATTTTAATCAACTAAGTTATGTATTAGTTACCATTTAAAACTAAATAAGTTAGTGACGTAGTCAGACTCTGAGTCGATTGAGATTCTTTGAAGTTTAATAATACTAAAGTTTATGTAACTAATGAGTTTTGAGTTGAGAGGTTCTTAGATGAGTTAAAAATACGAGGTTCTAAATTTTAAAGATCATACGGAACCTTATGTATGTAAATCACTGTCACCGGTTGAAGTTGGTTTTAATGTATTGGATAGCGCTAGTTTATGTTTCTCTTCCATTAATAGTATTGATCACTATGCATTTTAGTGGTAAGCATTATCATTTACTTTTGCTTCTTAAGAATCTATGATAATTTCTTTCTTGTACATGAATTATGTTCCCCAAATCATCATCCACTTGTTGTACATTGTCACTTAACTTCTACTTCTGCCAAATCCAAAAATATAACTTGATATGAACTTTTAAAGAGTTGTTTTCTTATAAGAGTATAATAACATATTGTTATTGTCGTTCAATTTTCCTCCATCCAAAATGTTCAATCAATATCTTACATTATTACGAAAATGAACCAAACACCATAAACGACCATCGTCTATCTAAACAGTGTCATGTGATCATCCACACCTTCAACACACAGATCGCCTCAAGCTCTCATTCAAAACCCAACTCCATTAAAATGAAAGTATCATCCTGTTACGAGTATAGAATTCGCAATTAAAATTATCGATTCTCAACGAACCAAAAGTTAAAATGACCATGTAATACAAACCCCTAGCTGACCAATTTCAGGTACCTAGCTACCTACCTACACCTTGATTACAGGCACAAGGGTCCCTCCCTCTCTATTTTTGGAGCTGGCATGGCGGTCGAGGAGCTATAATAATATTTGAACGAACAAACCCCTTATTGCTTGTTGCTCTGCTTTTCTTTTCTTTGCCAGTAAGTTTGTCCATTACTCTCCTCCAAGATATCCTTTTCAATTCATCACTGCTACCATATTTTGGCACAGCTTGTGATGGTATCTGTAAGCAAGAAAGAAACAATATGTACTTATGTAACAATATTCAACTTGCTTTCTTTATTGATTCATTTTCTCCCTTCTGGTCCCAGACGCCATAACCCGACATTTAAATCAAAACCCACTGTTCCTTTGTCATGTTGGAATGGACAAACTCAACTTATTCACAATCTCCATCCATGCGCGCCAGTCGCCATCTCATCTCTTCTCTTCCACAACAACAGCTGTCATGCCTAGCTACACAGTGGTCGTGTCATAGTAGTCGTGCGTAGGCGGGGTCCGTTCTTGTCTAAATTACATGTAATCTTAGTCAAACCGCTAAGGATTTTTCTTTTATTACATCATATTTTAACTATAATAATAAAGTTGTAAATTAACGAAAACCTCAATTTTTCCAATAGTTTAACTACATTTATCGTAATACAATTTGTTTTCTTTGTTTTATAATGAAAATACTGGATATTTCTAATACTTTCCATATAAATTGCATACCCATTGAGTCGACTTGACCCAACACGCAATCCATGATAAAATACCCGATTTAAACCCGACTTGTCACGAAATGAGTATGGATATCGAGATACCCTCTCTCGTGTGCGTGGAGTAGTAAGAGATCGATCCATCGATCTTCAACCAAAATGTTTGTGCCTATTGGCTGCGACACGACACACCAAGATGGCTTACTTGGTCTCTTTCTTTCTGGTTTTGTTTTGGCGCAACTATGTACCTTCCTTTTCAACGCACATTTATGCTCTTCCTTACCTTTTTTATTTTGTGGATCAGTACCAACCAAATGATTTTGGTTCCTATTCTATTATATCCATTCATTTTCATTGTCTCTTATCATATGTTCCACCCATTCTTCCCTACCTAATTGTGTTTAATTAATCATTATTCATTCTGTTCCCATGCTAAGAAACTTGTATCTTTTTCTAGGGCGAGATAGCATGACTATCCTTAAAGGGTTGGAAAAATGACACCTCGTATTAATTATAGGATTTTAAGGTAATTAATTTGTGTTGCATTTAATTATCTGTCTGAATTGAAAACCCATAATAATTACTTTCCTTTTTTCAATGCAATGGTAGTTGTACTAGTGTATAGGTGCAATGGTAGTTAAAAAAATGTAATTAATATGAGTTAATTGTATAAGTGCAATGATAGTTGTATAAGTGCAATGATAGTTAAAAAAGGAATGTAATTAATATGAGTTTTTAATTTTAAAATTTTATTAAATGCAACACAAATTTGATAAAAAAATAACTATAATTAATAGGGGTGTCATTTTTCCAACGGCCCCCTCTTTTCTCTGTATTCTCTAGTTATTCGTCGGCCCTAATCACAACAAAATTTTACCATCTAAAATAATTTACAGCAGAGAGGTTAAGTAAGATTTTATTTTCACTATTGAAAGGGCTCTTGTCATCATCCTATCAACGGCATAACCAAAAATTTTGAGTGAAGAGGGCGTTAAACGGTAATTATAAAGCAGGAGGAGGAGTGAATATTTTAGCAATTGCTTTACTTGTCAATTTTATGACATTTTTTCTTTATCAAAATGATTATCATGTACTTTTAGAATTTTTTTTAACTATGAGTAGAGTTCGTCACCCCCTTCTCGCCATAACATAGCTTCGCACCACTATTCTATATACTCAGTATCAAAATGAGCCATGCCATTTTGACCATCTATCCCTATAACATTTCTAAATAAAAATGTCCAAAGAGGGAGAATATTGGACTATGGGTTGGAGCTTGGAAGGATACTAATTTCAGAAAGTTGGAATAGAAGACTGGGTAGAGAGAACTTTCACAAAAAAAAAAAAAAGGTTAAGACTAATGATTTGAGTTGTTAAAGATGCTCTGAATTTTTTGAGGGTGGGAATAAAGTAAGTAATAAAGGGGAGGATGGGACAAGATTAAGAGCTAATTAATAATTAGAAAAAAAAAATACTAAGCATTAGGTGGTTGGTAATGTATGCCCTATTATTTTGTATATATTATGTGTGATTTAAAGGTAGGGAAAGCAACTTTAGCTTGTTGACAAAGACATAACAATGAATTAATGAGTATTGAGTAAACCCCCTCCTCAAAATTCAAGTATCTAGTTAAGTAGTGGGTGGTTAATTATGCACAAACCAACAAATCTTGGTTGGTGGGGGGGCCAAAGCCCTAATTCAAGTTAGTTCCATCCCTATCATCTTTCCAACTTGTGCTTGTGTATCATTTTATAACAGGTTTATTTTTGTGTCAAATTTCATCACACCATACTAAGAAATATTAGTGTACTCAACCCCGTTGTTAGATAATTGTGCATCATTTTCCTCAATGTACTTATCCAAATAAACATGCATGATATTAAAAATTGCAACACGTACACCTATAGTTTAGAGAGAACATTTTGGAACACAAGTTTTCTACCATTAATCATCAACTTAACTAGTCATCAATGGTATTACAATAATTTCTCCCCATTCCATACTTTTGGGGATTGCTGAGGTGCAGAATGCAGTAAGATCCTCCTGTCCTCTACTCGATCTACTGCATGCATTATTATCATTATTATTATTATCATCCTCATTCACCGACAATTATATCAATTAATTAAATGGGTTTCCTTCCTTCCTTCCAATCAAGTAAAAGATGGATTATTTCGTGAGAGACAGACATAAATTAATTGTACATCTCCCCTAACGCCTTGGATTTTGCGCTATATCTTCATGGAAAGATTGTCTCTAACATCCCACACCAATAGATCGGACTGAGAAAGAAACCAACACTGAAACAGACTACATTCATGGGTAGGATCCGGTCCACTACTCAACCCAAGCAAAAGGCAATCACAAGAACACCCCTAGTAACAAGGTGGAGAGTTGGACAGTTTGAAACTCACCACCCGCAAGGGACCTACAATTGAACTTTTCGCAACAACTCCGAGTTATTGGGATCCTGACACAATATTACAACTTTTTATGATCGAGAAATCTTCTTTTGGAATCTCAACGAACCCCATTTTAAGATTATACAAGGTACTGAGATCCAACTATCGTTTTGATTAAATGACGAGGTGATATATTATGACAATCTTACGAGAAATGTGTAGAAAAAAGATAAATATGAAATCCCTAGAATGTGAACCAGTCACTTCGAAGTTAATTATTGTGACAGCTCCGAGTATTACTAGGTCATTGGTCTCATCTCTTGTGTCGCGTATTAATTATCTACTCTTTGTACAAATACATATAGTCATTTGGTTTTGGTGATAGTTAAATTGATGAATTGTCATCAATGCATGCATAATAATATACATGTGTATTAGAAAATTGGCGTATTATAGTTTACATTGTTTGGTTAATGTGATATTTATTGTGGAATTTAAATAAGTTATGTGTCTTTTTGAGTGAAATGTCACTTTTACCCTTTGTTTTTTTTATATAAGAAAGTAACACACAAAAAAAGGTAGGGACATAGTTGGAATAAAAAAAAAGACTCAACAATCTCACCAAAAACTTGAGATTTAACTATTACTCATTTTGAGTGATAGTTTGTGTCATTTCAAGCAAACAATGCATGTATTGTTTGCGCATAAAATTCAAAAAAATAATACACTATGAACAATACATGCATTATAACTATCTCAATTAAATAATCATCAAAACTAAACAACCCCTAAGTTCCATTTCCACCAAAATATATTAAAAGAAATCCCCACAATAGAAAAATCGAAGGGCTTGCTACCGTTGGACTTGAAAAGCTCAAATATTTGAGTGCATGGCCCAGCAACCCACCCGCCCAAATCAAACCTCCCCAGTTAAGACTAAACGAATAACGGCCCAACAGGCCGACAGCCCATTACAGCTCGGAACTTCAAGCTTTCCTCAAACTCGGTTACTCGCTCGGCTCCAGGCGATCGCCCTCCTGTCTCCTCCACCGCTTCCCCTGGCCAGCCGTGGACAGTAAACAACCACCAGTGCACCTTCCGCGGAGGAAACCACCGCCGTAGAAGACGTGTCTTTCTTCCCTGAGAGGCAGCGGAGTCACACTGTTTCTCTTCTTGTGCTACTTTGTATCAGGTAGCTCGTCTTCTTTTGGATTGTTCGCCTACCATTTCAAATCATTTCCAGTTTGCCTTCCACGATTCTGAATTGCTCAAAGCTGAGAGCCGACATTCAATTGCTAGGGGTTCTTCCCTATTCATCATTCGAGTGCATGATGTATTGTTAATCTCGCACTAAGTTATGGCTTTTTGATTCGGTTCTTTTTGGCTAATTTTGCAGTTTCAGCTGCGGCAGGGATGTCTAGGTTTCGATCAATCTGGCAAGCCTCTTTGAATGCCACCAAGAAAGGTATTTTCTTTTTCTATGGGTTTCTCTAGTGGGTGCTCTATTTGGCCTGATTGTCATTTCGCTTGATCTTAGATACTGCATTATTCGTTGGTTTTTGCAAGATAGCTTTTTGTGTGTGTAGCTGTAGTATATGGTAATCTCTGCTTATCCTTTCTTTCACCTGGTATTCCTTGTGTGAAATTCATACTATCTGCCGAATGCTAATGGTAAATGTCACACTATGAATTCATATTATCTTCAAAGTAAACCATGACAGTTGACCCGAATAGTTAACCACTCGAACTACAACCTGCTTAATCGTGAATAGCATAAGGTAGTCCTATTGTGCAGAAGTGATGAGGAAAGGCAATTGGTTTGATAAGGAAATACTTATTAGGATGTTGTAGTACCGATTGCTTGACATGCTGTTATTGTGGTAAATACTGTTACTAATAGATCGAGTGGAGATGTTTCATATTTAGATCAGGGAATCGAACACTTAAAACGAGCCCATAAAGTGGAAACGATTTCATTGCATTGCCTTTACTTTACAGCTTTACTATTGGATTTCTAAGAACATTAGTGTACAATATGGTTTTCTTATTTACTTGTGTATGCCCCCCCTGCAGCTCTTACATGGAACCTTGAAGACTTGATGCCTCCTCCCGAAAGACTTATTTTCAGCTTCAACTCAAAGGAAGAACTAAAGAAATGGCATCTATATTCAGATTCAGAGTATGGAGGTACAGTATCTTGCCAACTTCAATGCTTCATGTTGTGCCTTCCGCTCTCTTCAAGCTAGGAAATTTTTATATGTTTGGTCTGGTAGCTGGTACGACTGAGGCGAACTCTTCAAAGGGTTAAGAATTCATTGAAATTGTCAAATGTCAAGATTGGGGTCCCGAATTACTCCTCTAAGAATTTCTAAATATTTTCAGGTCTCTCCTCCGCTTCTTTAGAGATTAGTGAAGTGGACAATGGATTGAAAGGTACTGTGCATTTAGTCCGATTTGCTTAGTACAGCTCTCTCAGATCTCTGATCTGGCCATGTACCTTTTGTGCTTCTCATCTGTTAACTGTACTCATTTTGTTACCCAATAGGTGTGTTCTCTGGGAATCTATCAGTAGATCTAGCTGAGGATTCTAAGTGGAACATAAGTAGGGGTGGCTTTTGTGGAATGCGTTCCAAGAAGGTAAATATATCTTTTGATCGATAGAATATGTGTGAATGAAATAACCAGAACCAAGTGCTGAACTGGAATCATTCATTGCGAAATCTTAGAGATGTGACTAACTGAAAAATATGTGGAATCTTTCCGCAGTTTGATGGTTTCATTGATCTCGATTCATATGATACGATTGCACTAAAGCTTAGAGGTGATGGAAGAAGCTACATATCAACTGTGAGATTTGTGCCCCCTTCTCTTTTATTCTGATTCTAGGCAGAGCCAAAATATCATCCATACTGTAATAGTCACTTCTTTCCAATTGGTGCTGTAATTCTGCCCTTAAGATAGAAACTCTTGATGCAGATTTATACAGAGAATTGGGTTAATTCACCCGGACAGCTAGAAGATAATTCCTGGCAAGCTTTCGTTCATGTACCGAAGGACAACTGGTACATTGCAAAGGCAAGCTGTTTCCTCATGCTCTCATTTACTAGTTGAATTGCTCTCAACTGCCACTAACAAAAAGACTGATCGAATTGCTATTTCGGTATTCAGATTCCACTTGCTCAATATCTACCGACTTGGAGAGGGAATGTCATAAACGCAGAGATGGAGATGAATCAAGCCCGCATTCTTGGCATCTCGCTCTCTGTCAATGCAGAAGGTGGTGTCCCTGGTGCCAGAACTGGTACCGGTGATTTCAAGGTTGAGCTCGACTGGATCAAAGCCATTCGAACGGAGGAATATACCTGATGTTTCAGTCCCCATCGACTGTGATCCTCGACAAATCCAGGTTTTACGCACCTTGCATTGAACTGCACCTGTTCAGACTGCAGATTGCAGACCCCCCAGTCCAGTTGTAGGAATGAGTTTCTAAACAGTTTCCGAAGTGGGTGAGAGATACTCCAAACTGCTGAGTTTCAGTAGTAGCCCATGAAGGGTCATGCCTTCTGGTTGCGCGGCCATGGTTCCTAGACTTTGAGACAGGCAGGTAATGCATGCCCAGTTGTAGTTCTGCAAGATCAGATGTATCTTTGTAGATGGGTGTGTTTAGGACAGTATGGTCAGAACTCAGAAATAGCACTGCAAGTCTGCAACTAAATAACTATATCGTTGTGTTCATAAACGTAACCAAACCATGGTTAATGTCGAATACACAAAAATGATTTATTGTTAAGATACTTGTTATCCCTGGCTCTACTTGGTGATTACAGTTTAAAAGATCGAAGAAGATATTTATGGATTGGGTGACAAAAGCATTAATTGTCAACCGATGTAGTGTGGAAGATGTCATTAGGGGGAGTTGATACTTAATAAGCCTTATATTATATTAACTATACAAACGATATTTGTTGGAAGAATTGAATTGAATATTCATTATTCATTTAGAAGGTGAAGGAGGAACTAGGAAGGTAGGTCCTATTGAGAAGAAAAGGCCTCATCTGTGCAAGTCCTATGAAGAAGACAAAAGAGAAGCAACTGGCAGCTTGAATAGATCTTTTTATATTAGTAGATGGACTTTGAGAGAAACAAAGTGAATAGTGACCATCTTTCATAATTCTTTATGTTTTTTCGGTGGAATTTGTATGCAAATACGTACCCGCAGACGATTTGACTGACCCTGTTCTGCCACGACATTTGCACAATAATTTTATCATTTTTAATTACATTTGGAATTGAATTACTAATTGGGATTAACTACAACACTGCACGGGGTCGATACACAATTACACACAGTACCTAGTATCCATCGTTTACGGCTAGGACTACTCGGGTATCTAATCTCATTCGCTCCACTAGCTTTTGTCTCTCAGTCTAAAGGTAACTTGGGCCTTTATTATTTGGACTATATTCGCGATTTATTTCCATATCCGAGTAAATAAAAATGGGGAAAGTTTACGGGCTCCTCTCTTGTGTAGCTATCTACGGTTGCGGGTTCAGGTTCTCTTACTATAAGCGACCGACGGAATCCCCATAACTAGGGGTGTTCAAACGTTTTGGTTACCATGGTAACCGTTTTAACCGGCACTATTTGGATAATTTGGTTTGGTTAATTTGGATAATTAGTTTGGTTTGGTTAAAGTTTTTAGCTTGTTTGGTTTAGGTGGTTTGGTTTGGTTTCAGACATTCCTAACCAGTCAAACCAAATTAACCAGTTAAGTAATTAGTCATATATCTAACATATATTATATACACATACTTAATACTTTGCATAGCCACTCAAGAGTTAACGTTCATCCTTTTTAGACTCATAAAATATAAATCTCAATATTGCTCATATAGTGTATATTTGTATATGTAAAATGTAGACCACAACATATGGACGCCTAATTTAGATAAATTTCATACATTATGATGGATGAAAACTTGAAAGGAAGGTAATTTCCAGCCTATGATAATTGCTAAGAGACTAAGTCAATTTACACAAACACAACAATTCATTAACCCATACCATTGTTATAAAATTTTGTTAGGTGAATACTTCTATACTAATCGTAAGATAATTGTCTTAGTTGCATGTATTTTTGTTAAGGGTCAGCTATAACTACGTGTTGGTTGTTATGTTTTATTCATTATATAAATTGCGAATTGTTGCATTAACCGGAAAATTTTCATCGTCAATGATAATGTGATTTTATATTGGTTAATCTGGTTAACCAATTAACCAAACCGATTAAACTTTAGTTTGGTTAATTTGGTTGTTGTATTAGTTTGAACGGTTTGGTTATGATTTTATATTCTATGGTTAATGGAATTTAGCCTTATTTGTTTTGGTTATAACCATGTTAACCATTTGAACACCCCTACCCATAACCCATAAATAGGGTCAAACCTTATTTCATGATATTTAGCTCTTTCTTATTCTTAAACAAGTGCCCGCGAGGGTTCTATTTTCTTGAATATTCAATTTTTCTGGATTCCTTCCTATGCTATGTAACTTTATATAACTCCTTTAAAGGTTATGGGCAATACAAAGTTGATGATGCAAAACTCCTTTAGTTTCATTTTATTAATTAGATTATTCGAAGTCGCCTATTATTATTATAGTTAAAGTAACTATTATAATAGTAAAAAATCGTTTTTAACTCTGAAAGTCTTAAAATTTTAAAAACGAATCCCCTTTTAACTTCAAGGAAGAAGAAACCATATCTTTTGCGATCGATAGTCCGTAAGTTTCATGTTGAAACAACAATTTGCAACGTACAGTCAGATGATTAAATCAGTATATTATTGAAAGCAGATCAAATGTTCCCGAAGAGACTAATATTGAAGAAGATAAATGTCATATAAATGTTAGAACTTGTACTTCCATATAAATGTATTACAGATTTTAGTCGTCATAAATACTGAACCGAAGATGATAAATAGATCAACAAAGAAGGAAGGAGAGCTGAGCAGGGGACCAATCCATTCCTCTTTCTCGAGCTCTCCATTTTCTTCCCCAACAAAGCATTTACGTCTTTCTTCTTCTTCTTCTTCTATTTTCCTTCTTGCCTATTGTAATCAATACTTCCATTTGCTTTCTCTTCTATTTTTATTTGGGAAGGCCATCGAAAGAGACCAATCATACTGAAACACAGAAGAACCTTCTGGACATATCTTTTGTATTCATTCATTTTACCCCCACACCAAAATATCTAAGAGGCATCTCTCCATCTCCACCGTCCATTTCATTTCCCCTCCCAAACCTTCAACCATTTCTTCCATTGCCACAAAAACCACCTTTTGGTGTGTGTACTCTATAGATTTATGGCCCTGGTTGTGTATTTCTTAACACTGATTCTGAATAACACAAAGACTTAAGTTCAAGAATTTTGGATCCAAGTCCTTAAACACATACAACAAATCTTACTAACTTAGCATCTTTCATGTGCATATCATCTGAGTTTTTTTCCCCCCGACTCCTCTCACTGATTTAATATTTGACAGCTTTTGCGACACTTAATATTTGAAGACTCGTACAAAATCAAAGTGTACCTGACTTTGAAATTTGAAGAATATTAAGATATTGATTATAAACATATACATTTTGGAAATAAATGTCATGTGCTAAATTTAGAACAATACACGTATCGAATTTTTACAGAAAATCTACATGCAAGAACATACACATTCAATGATGATTTGAAGCGGCTGATTATAAGATATATATATTCATAAATTATTTGGAATGGGTATTTTTGGTGGATGTGAGAATTTTTTGGGCTAAGTAGTTTGACCATATAAATGTATATTAAGGCCACCCCATTGTTGAAGTTCAATTAGTAGTTGATCTTTTTCGTGGTTGCAAATATTTAAACAAAATATCACGCTAAAGGAACTAATTGAATATTAGAAAGAACGATTATTATATGGTAATGACACTTGCAAGTGGATGGATACAATAACAATACCATTACCGGCAACACAAATCCAAATCAAAACCAAGGCAGATACAAAGAAAGGAACTTTTATTATTATGTATAAAACTGGCCGGTTTCTGGAGACTACTATTTGGCAGCCACCAGCCAGAGCCAGCCGCTCTTTCTTTCTTCCTCGTTCACAATTCCCTCTCCCATCTCCAATTCCTCCCACCCGAAAGACACAGGTGAAAAGGAAAAAGCTAGTTCCTTTCTTTCTCCCTTCTTTACGCTTCCCTTTTTCACTTCCACGGAACCCCCAAAAATGCCAACAAGCCAGCTTCCTACTCCATTTCTAAAACTGGGTTTTGGGTTTGCTCTATTCTTTTAAGCGTTCTATTGGGTTCTTGTTCGTTGAAATTTGTCGACAAGATAAAGGGGTAAAGGATTGAACTTTATTGACAACGGAAACAGAACAGAAGGAAGCAACAATGGCAAATCTGGGAGAGAATGGCAGCAGAGCTAGTGGCAGGGACTTGTATGGAGTTCTGGGTTTGCACAAGGAATGCTCTGCCACTGAGCTAAGGAATGCTTACAAAAGACTTGCTCTGGTTAGTCTTCTACCCTTTTCTTTCTGATCATGGTGTTGCATGCACGTGTAATTTGTCCCATTTAACTTAAATTCCAGCTTGATTATGAAAAGGGTTGATCAAAGGTTGAAACTTTCTGATTAATAGTGTCAATCTGGGTGGTGGGTCAACATTGTCTAACGATTTTGGCCTTTTGTTTAAATTTGCTGGGGATGAATTTTCAGAGATGGCATCCAGATCGTTGTTCAGGTTCAGGGAACTCGAAGCATGTTGAAGAAGCCAACAGCAAGTTCCAGGCAATTCAGCAAGCCTATTCTGGTACTTCCCTCCTCCTTCCTTAAAACCGTCTTAATCATTAATAAAGTTGTGCTCTCTGGACACCAGAATTGTGCTCTCCATACGGCACATCATGTTGGCAACTTGAATTATATTAAAAAAATTAGGGATTTGACAATAGAAAGTTGGGGGGGGGGTAATTCTGGTGGGTTCTTCTTTGTCTGGTTCTGTATTCTGCATGTTTTCTCTGCCCAAATTCCCAACTCTTCTATTTTGTTACTTTGTTTAATAAACACAGTTCTGTCTGATGCCAACAAGAGGTTCCTATATGACGTTGGAGCCTACAACAGTGATGATGATGATGACCAAGATGTAATAATCTCCTTGAGGTTTCATGCTTCAGTTCTTGTGTGCTCCTTGTAAACATAAAGGAAGCCTTTTGGTTTGCTTTGATTTGATTTGTTTTCAGCTAGAAAGATTGACTCTTAGCCATTGATTATGGTGTTATGTGCAGGGAATGGGTGATTTCCTGAATGAAATGGCTGTCATGATGAGCCAAACGGAGCCTACTCATGATGTAAGCCTCCTCAGTCTCTTTCATTGACAGAATCCCAATTGTAAATTTTCTTCACCATATTAGCACCAAGTTCAGGACTTGCTTCAACCACGGCTTAAGCATATTGATTGACTTCTCCTTTGGAAATGTGTGGGAAATGGCAGGAGAGTGGGGAGGAGAGTTTTGAACAGCTGCAAGATTTATTCAATGAAATGTTCCAAGGTGACACTGAGTCACCATTTGGAGCTTCTTCCTCCCTCGACGGTTCCTCGTCATCATCAACGTCCTCGTCGGCTTCCTACACTTCCTACTTCCAGAGCTCCGACTTGCCTTATGCAAGCAGCAATCCTGAGCTCAAGATGCGCAATAATGACATGAAACATTCACTTAACCAAGCTTCTCACTTTCAGAACTTCTCTCTAGGGGTAAGTTACCACACTTGTCTTTCGTGGCCGCTCTATAGAACTATTGATGCACACTGAATGACTGCATGATTTGGTTCTGGAGTTGGAATTCCTGGTAGCTTAAGCTAGACCATGCTGAAGTGATGCAGAATGTGAGTGTTGAGTCACTAATTTGGATGTGTGTTGCCGAACAAATGGGCACTTCTGTAGTCACATTGTATTCAAATATAGTTCATGTCCTTCAGGAATTGAGGTTATTGCCCTCCATGAGCCCCAAGCATCAAGGTACTTGTGCCTATGAGTTCGTGCAAGGAAGAGAACTACTATTCCTCTGCCATAAAAACATGTTCAATTCAAGTGTAGTCTTCGGAATGAGGAGCTTGCATTGTTTCCAGTTCACATGCTTAATACGAAAACTGAAGTATGATTGGGCATCTTAACTTAAACGATTAACACAAACGTGACATTCGGCTTCATGTTAATGAAGGCAGGTGGAAAATCGGAAGGATTTCAAGAAGGGGAAGCCAGCAAAAGGAGGAGGAATTCAGGGAGAGCTCGGCGGTGGAAGGAGAAAGCAAGGTAGGAAACATAATATGTCATCGTTTGGACATGCGTCCAGTGACGACATCATGTCCATGCTTGGCAAAGGATGGTGAGCTGCAGCAACTTGATCGATTCAGCCTGCTGCAATGGCTGGTCCAAACTATGGAGCTGGGAGGCCTAACCTAATATGCACACAAGGTGACGATGCAGGAGCGAAATAGCAAGTCGAAAGAAGTGATTCAGCAATAGAGGAAAGGGTTGTCTTGTAAAGAAAAAGATGAGTATTGCCTGTCTGGAAAATGCTGCTGCAGATCTTGTGTGCCTCCACCTTGTCTAAGTTGTAGAAGTGGCACTTGAAGCCTACTGATGGTTTTTTTTTATGCTCCTTGGTGTCAAAGTAGATGGAAAGGGATGATCTTTTCCTTGGCAGCATTTCTGGCAATGCTTTCTTTAGCATTTTGTTGGGTCCAAACTTCAAATGGAGGTAGGAACAGTGGGATTCAAGTCTAATGAACTCAATCAACCAGTGTAGGGTAGAAGGAGATATTTAGTAACTCATTGAGATGATGATCATGGTTCGATTTGGTCTGATACTAGCCATGAATGTGGGGCAAATTATCATCAATCATCCCACTTTTAAAGTTGATGAGGATCAGGTTATCAATACCACACTTTTAAGAAAAACGCAAATGATGGAACCCAAAAAATTAAAATTACCCAAGAAAGGGATCCGATGGAAGTTTGTACTCAATGGATTAGTTCTATAATGTATTTGGGGTTCCTATGTGCATGCATCTTAGTATAATAATACGACCTTTCCCTACATGGAAGGAAGAGAAGAGAGAGCCAAGTCAAAGTAGGGAAGAAAGTCAGAAACTAATTCCTCTGACCTGCTGAGTGCTGACTGCAGCTGCCAGCTAGCTCTCATATATGAAAAACATCTCTTGTCACGTTAGGTTAGGTGATAGAACACGAAAGACTAGTTCATTAACGTCATTTTGTATTTATTCATGCTATTTTATGTTCATTCACGTAATACTATGGTGATTTACGTAAGAGTGTAAGTTTTTCACGTAAATGGAAATTTATACTTTTTCTCCCTAATAATTTGTATTGGCTATATTTTATGGAATTAAATTTGGATTATCATTTAATCTTGTAAAAATATGTAGCATTGATCATAATCTACACAATGACATCCTTTTTTATATATTTCAAAGTTTAAAATTTTATTTTACAACGACGTGAATAATTAACAATGTGCATGAATAAACATCAGGTGGGGTGACCTAACAGTATTGGTTGCGTGAATAATCAACACTCTTACGTAAATAACACAAATATGACGTGAATGACACAAATATGGCGTGAATAACCCAAAATTAGGTGTTTTGTCACCTAACGTAACAAGAGACTGCACTCCTCATATATAATACCGCACTTCTACATGACTTCTAGGTGTCATATTCTATTCATATGACTAATTTCTCAATTCTCACGAGCTCCTTCTCTCTGAGTTCCCAGACCAGGTCATCATAGAATTTCGTAGAAGACTGAGCATGCGTATCTTTAGTATTTTTATTATTAGTTTGTACTCAAATATTATTTTGGTACTTTTGGTATTATTTATTTATGTTTACTTGTTTGCGTTGGATTAAGATTTTTAGTACGTATGTGTTTAGGATTTGATATTTGTTTCTTTGTAGAATAGGTTTCATATTTTGGTTAGGAAAGGGAAAAAAAGGCGCCGACCTAGTAGGAAAAGGAGAAGGGATTGCAGGATAGCCTAGCCTATAAATATGTAATCATTCTCTGGATTAATGCATACGAATATTGGAACCCAAATATTTAGCTTTTGTTCTTTTATTCGTTATTTTCTTTGTTATTTCCTTTGAGAATTTTTGCTTTAGTCTTTTATTATGTTCGAGTACTAAAAACGTCATCCCCACGTCACATCACCATGACAGTTGGTATCAAAACCCAGTTCTTAGGAAGACGAGTACGCAACCAACGAAGTCCAGGTTACCAGCAACATCGAAGGGTCAGAACCCGACCCTCTTCACCCACGGTTGTTAGGAACAGAACAACAAAAGGAACGAGGTTACCGAATCTGGAGCTGAGTCGCGGACTAGGTCGCTCTCTTTAAGACGTTCGCGACACTGCCTTCGATGCGCACGGCAGACTATCAACCGGTCGTCTCCAGGATAAAACAGCTCCTCTCAATACTCCCGGTTTTGTGCGAAAACCGAAGCTCTCTAAACACTCTCTCTATTGTGTTTCTGCTCGTTGTGATGATGTTTAGAGGGGCTGGGGAGGCGGCTATTTATAGGAGCCGAACCCCTAGGAATATACCCTTTTGCTTGGGGAATAAGTCGGATTAATTAAGGAAGATAATTACTTCCTTAATTAAAACCGTCGGTTAAGATAAACCCGTAGGGATTATCCTTAGAATATTCCGTTTTAGTCGATTATCCTTAGAATATTCCTCAGAATAACCGATTAATAATTAATTATTATTAGATAATTACTTTCGTTCGGAATTTCTCCAAAAATATATATATATATATATATATATATATAGTCTCAAGTGAACCAACCGACCGGCCGGTCGGAAGGACGGACGGCGCGCGCGCGCGTGTGTGTGGTGGTCCATTAGGTCCTCCCTCTCCCACAAAAGTGGGTCACCCCAAGGGGCATGCCCTTAGGAGAGAGGCTCCTATCTTTATACACATTTCACCAAGTAAAACTACCAATGTGGTAGTTTTTCCACTAGAGACTCTATAGCTTTCAAAGCTATTCATATACATTTCCAACAATCCCCCACTTGAATAGTTTTGAAACTATCTCTGAGCATCAACAGTTCCATAAGATCGGGCATAAGCTAAGGTATCGTGAAGATTTGAACCTTAGCGTAGTGGTTACACTTCCGATTTCATAAGGGTGACTCGTAGTCTTGAACCCTATCTCAGACAGTGCAGCACACCGGATCTTTTCATTGAGTTGTGTTCTCTTCATAGCCCGTGCGTTTATGGCCATGCACGTTACCCTGGTTTAGTGAACGCTCTAGCAACTTTGTGCCTCCAAAGTTCCATAGGGAGCGGCCCAACTCCCACATTCACATAGGTGAGTCTATCAAGATTACCCCCAAAGTAAAGTACTCCACCCCACAAAGGGTTTAGATCTCATTAAGAGTTATTAACTCAACCTCCATTGCTTTGGGATTCATGCTTCACTATGCATGAACTTTTCGCATACTACTCATGACTTGTTATTACCCATTGAACCCATTTCTTGGGATCTCCAGTCTATTGGGTCGGGTTACCATCACTTGTAGTCCGTGGTTCGGTTGGCATAAGTCCCATACCCTTGGCGGTATTTTGGACTTTCTCTCTAGGTAATCCTTTCGTCAAAGGATATGCTAGATTCTGTTCGGATCTTATATGATCCACCCTCACTGCTCCTATCGTTAGGATTTCTCTTACAGTACTGTGCTTACGACGAATCTGTCTTTCTTTCCGTTATAGAACCGGTTCTCAACTTTAGCGATAGCTGCGGTACTATCACAATGGATCAATACCGGAGGGACCGGCCTTTCCCATAGGGGAATCTCTGACAACAATCCTCTCAACCAACTTGCTTCTTCACTAGCCGTTGCTAATGCTATCATCTCTGATTCCATAGTTGATTGAGCTAGGATTGTTTGTTTCTTTGACTTCCAAGACACAGCTCCACCAGCGATGTTGAAAACATACCCGCTGGTTGCCTTGGAGTCATCTGATAGGGTATTCCAATCCGCATCACTATACCCTTCTAGTACAGCAGGAAACCTTTGATAGTGTATACCAAGGTTTGCTGTTCTCTTGAGGTATCTCATGACCCTCTCTATAGCATTCCAATGCTCTCTACTAGGACAGCTGTTAAACCTGCCAAGCAATCTCACGACATATTCAATGTCTGGTCGAGTGTAATCTGCAGCATAACGGAGACTGCCAATGATGCTAGCATATTCTGATTGTCTTACACTGTCTCTAGTGTTCTTAAATAGCTTTACACTAGCATCATACGGAGTACACGCAGGTTTACAGTCGAAATAGTTATATTTCTTCAAGATCTTCTCTATGTAGCTAGATTGATCTAGAGAATAACCATTTGTTGTTCTAGTTATCTGGATTCCAAGCATAAACTTTGCTTCTCCCAGATCTTTCACTTCAAAGCTCTCTTTCAACATGGCTTTTGCTTCATTGACCACGTGAATATTTGTACCAAATATCAACATGTCATCTACATACAAACATATGATAGTACAAGTGTTATTTTCTGACTTGCGGTAAATACACTTGTCACTTTCATTCACCTTAAAGCCATGTGAGAGAACGAGAGTGTCAAACTTCTCATGCCACTGTTTTGGAGCCTGTTTCAAACCATATAATGATTTGTCTAACTTACAGACTTTCGAGGCATGTTCGGGGATAACAAACCCTTCTGGTTGTTCCATATAGATTTCTTCATCCAGATCACCGTTCAAAAAAGCAGTCTTAACATCCATTTGGTGTACCACGAGATTGTTCAAGGCAGCAAGAGCAATCATTACACGAATGGATGTTATTCTAGATACTAGTGAATAGGTATCGAAGAAATCTATATTCTCTCTCTGCCTGTAGCCCTTAACTACTAGGCGAGCTCGAAACCTTTCGATTGCACCATCAGGTTTCCGTTTCGTTTTTAGAACCCATTTATTACCTAAGACTTTGAAGCCAGGAGGTAAGTCTGTTAGATGCCAAGTCTTATTAGCTTCTAACGATTCCATTTCATCTATAACGGCCTCATTCCAAAAATCTGCATCTACGGAAGTTAATGCTTCCTGCAAACTTTTTGGATCTTCGAGGGTGAATACTGTAGTAAAGTCATCACCAAAATCTTTAGAGATTCTAGCTCTTTTACTTCTTCTGAGTTCATCCTTAGAACCAACACCCCCACTAGTTCCGTTATCTCTAATAGCGGGTAGTACATTACCCCCACTATTTCTCGTTTTAAATGGAAATCGTGTCTCAAAGAAATCAACATCAATGGATTCTATTATAGTACGAGCATTCAAATCATAGAATCTATATGCCTTACTATTGGCCGCATAGCCAACGAAGACACATTCATATGCTCGACTAGCCAATTTAATCCTCTTAGGATCCGGAATTCTTACGTAGGCCAAACAGCCCCACGTTCTTAAATAGGACAGATTAGGTGGCTTATTCTTCAAGATCTCATAGGATGATTCTTTTCTATTTGTTTTTGGAAGACGGTTTAGCACATAGCAAACTGTCAACAAAATATCACCCCACCAAGAAGAAGCAGCTCCAGAATTGAGCATAATAGCCACAACTAATTCTGTAAACGTCCTATTTTTCCGCTCTGCTTTACCATTCATTTCTGGTGAATATGGTGCCGTGGTTTCATGAATGATACCATGTGAGCTATAGAATTCCTTGAAGGGATTAGAGTCATACTCTCTGATCCTCTATCACTCCTAAGTCTTTTTATCTTTCGATTGCACTGATTTTCAAATTCAACCACAAATACCTTGAACATATCAAGGGCTTCACTTTTGTTTTTCATCAAATAAACAAAGCAATAATCAGAGCAATCATCTATGAAAGTGATAAAGTATCTCTTGCCAGACCTAGTTAACGTCCCATCTAGTTCACAAATATCAGAATGAATCAGATCTAAGGGTTCTGACTCTCTACTCACAGATTTATGGGGCGTTTTCGTTATTTTAGCTTGGCTACAGAAATCACATTTATCAAATTCATTCATTGAGAGTTTAGGGATATGTCCTAGCTTGCTTAAATTCTTCACAATTCGTGTGTCACATGACAAAGACGAGCATGCCAAACATTCAAATCACACACCATGTAAATTGAAGAATTCATCTTATTAATTTCGACATTCAACTTGAACATCCCATTACATGCATATCCCTTTCCCACAAAACTCCCATTCTTAGTAAGGGTATACAAGTCTGCCCCAATAGTTTGATTAAACCCAGCCTTATTAAGAAGATATCCCGAAACAAGATTCTTCCTTATCTCTGGAGTGTGCAACACATCCTTAAGCACCATCTTCTTCCCAGAGGTGAAGTTCAGCTCCACTTCACCAGAACCAGCAACCATAGTGGTGTGAGTAGTCCCCAACAACACTTTCTTGTCAGCAGGTGCTTCTGTGTATGTTTTAAACATAGCACGATTATTGCATACATGCTTCGATGCACCTGTATCCAGCCACCATCCTTCTGAGTCACCGGTGAGGTTAACTTCAGCGATCATATCCGTGATCATGGCTATCAAATCCTCTTCTGTCAAGTTAACCCTGGCCGCAGCGGTAGGGTTTTGCTTGTTCGGCACTTCTTTGCCATATGACCCGGTTTTCCACAGTTATAGCAGATAAACGATGGGTCATTCTTAGAGGTTTGGGCCATGACCCTTTGGTTACCTCGAGAGGCACCATTCTGGTGGGGGCGGACCTGCTGGTTCTTACTCTTAAACCCTTTCTGGTTAGGCTTAAGAGCTCTAGGGGTGGGTCGTTTAGCAGTGACGACCATCACCTCTTCTTTCATATCCTGCTTGCGGGACTCTTCCTCAATCCTTAGGCGAGTAATCAAGCTTTCCAGTGAAAATTCTTTGGTTTTGTGCCTAAGCATATTCTTAAAATCTTTCCACGAAGGGGGCAGCTTATCAATAATGCAAGCAACTTGGAATTGATCGTCCAGAGGCATACCTTCAGAGACGATCTCATGAGCTATTTTCTGAAGTTCGTGGGACTAAACTTCGACGGACTTGTCATCCACCATCTGGTAGGGCAGGTAGCGGCTGACAGCATACTTCTTAGCTCCAGCCTCCTCCGTGTCGTACTTCTTTTGGAGCGCATCCCAGATCATCATCGCGGTGTTCTTACTGTCCGCATAGTAGTCGTAGAGATCGTCTGCCAGGCCGTTGAGGATGTAGTTCTTGCATAGGAAGTCATGCTCCCTTTCTCTGGCAGCAGCAACCCTCTCCTCATCGGTCGCTTCTTCCGGCAGCTCGACAGGCATGCTGGTGAGGCAGTGGGCCAGCTTTTTGGTCGTCAGGTAGAACTCCATCTTTTATCTCCAGCGACGGAAGTTGACCCCAACGAAGCGAAAGGGTCGATTGATATCGACAGCACCAGATCCGGCCATGTTGTTCTGTTCAGTCGACATAGCAGCAGCCGAACGTCTTAAAATTGTTAGGAACGGAACAAGAAAAGGAACGAGGTTATCGAATCTGGAGCTGAGTCGCGGACTAGGTCGCTCTCTTTAAGACGTTCGCGGCACTGCCTTCGATGCGCACGACAGACTATCAACTGGTCGTCTCCAGGATAAAACAGCTCCTCTCAATACTCGCGGTTTTGTGCGAAAACCGAAGCTCTCTAAACACTCTCTCTATTGTGTTTCTGCTCGATGTGATGATGTTTAGAGGGGCTGGGGAGGCGGCTATTTATAGGAGCCGAACCCCTAGGAATATACCCTCTTGCTTGGGGAATAAGTCGGATTAATTAAGGAAGATAATTACTTCCTTAATTAAAACCGTCGGTTAAGATAAACCCGGAGGGATTATCCTTCGAATATTCCGTTTTAGTCGATTATCCTTAGAATATTCCTCAGAATAACCGATTAATAATTAATTATTATTAGATAATTAATTTCGTTTGGAATTTCTCCAAAAATATATATATATAGTCTCAAGTGAACCAACCAACCGACCGACCAGACGGCGCGCGTGCGCGCGTGTGTGTGGTGGTCCATTAGGTCCTCCCTCTTCCACAAAAGTGGGTCACCCCAAGGGGCATGCCCTTAGGAGAGATGCTCCTATCTTTATACACATTTCACCAAGTAAAACTACCAATGTGGTAGTTTTTCCACTAGAGACTCTATAGCTTTCAAAGCTATTCATATACATTTCCAACAACGGTTGCACGCATTGGAGGAACGGCTCGGAAGCTTTGAGGGTCGTATGACTCCTTTGGTCGAGCGGGTCGAAACCCTATACCACAAAGTCAACGACATCACTAGGATGATGGCGGAGGGTTTCGCGGCAACAGAGGCTAGGAACGAGCAGTGGTTCTTTGCATTGAAGGATTTGGTGTGTACCATCGCCACCCAGAACATCATAGCGGATCGATAGCTGGAGGCGATGGCCTACTCCGACGGACGAAGCAGCAGTGCTACCGCAACTCTGATCGCGGCTCGAGCTCACGAATGAACACCTGCAGCGCATCGGAGAAAATGAAAGGGCCTTTGATCGATGAAGAAGAGGCGACATCAATCCCAAGCCGCCGCGCGTGGTGGGATTGTCGATGGGAGGCGGTAGCGGAATTACATGACTGAGTGAATCTCAACACTTTATTTAAGTTTTAATCTAGTGGTTATAATTAATTTCATTTAATGAAGGATAAGGTAGTAATTACACAAGTTATTTTTTATTTTTCGAGAAAGTGTAACAAAGAATTGAAAGAGCATCGGTCTTTCACCTACTTCAAAGATCTTTGTTTTGCACCTTGCGCCTATCACCATCCTTCTAAAACATTTATGTTGACCTTTCTCGAGTAAATCAAGCAAGATCATGTAGAATTAGGACGACCCTAGCCACTAGAAACCCGGCTCCTAGGAAACACATCAAGTGTGGGGAATTTAGATGCCTCGATTAGCATGATTTAATCGTATTTTTGTTTGGGGACAAACAAACGCTTTAGTGTGGGGAATTGATAACACCTAAAAGATGTGTTACTTGGCTCTCAATCTTGAAGCATTTGCATGCTAAATCACCATGTCTAGGCCACATATAAAGTTAGTTTAGGCCTATTTTCGCTCTTATTTGAAAAACATCCATTTTGGCATGGGTTAGCTTGATGTGAAGGTTTTTATGGGGAAATCAAACCCACTTTGTCGTATTTTATGCTTTGTCCAGTATTTGTGATGAATTTTCGGAAATTATATTCATCTAGGATCAATCGGGAATCAATTGGAGTTCATCCGAGCACTATTGGGAAGCATAGGAGTAAGAAGGGAAGAAAAAACACAAGTTACGGCCACGTCACGGCCGTGACTAGGTGATGACCATGTTCGCAGTAGCCTATAACTTCAGCAGACAGCCAACAAAAGGTGGAAAGTTTTTACACTTGAATCGCAGCCAAGGAGCTTTTCGACCGCGATAAAAATCGCGGCCGTGATCTCACGATGGAGGCCACAATCTCAGAACTTGAAGCCGATGTCAAGACGCGAAGTTTCGGGAGGTTCGGCCCCGTTTCACCCCAATCACGGCTTGGTCATCCCCACGACCATTGGGTCACACCCTTTAGGTTGTGATCTATGCATGACACTATAAATACCCCTTCTTCTGTACTTGACGAAGGAGAGTCGACTAGAGTGAGAAAATTCGGGTTTTGTGCAGTTTTTAGAGAAGGAAACACTTTGGGAGAGTTTGGTAAAGGTCCAATCCATCCAAAGATCAAGGAAGAAGGTGCAATCCAAGGATAAGAAGATGATTTTCAACACTTCCCCTCTATGACTTGTATCTCTAAGGTTGTTTAGGGAAGATGAATCCTAGCTTATAGTTTGTGTATGAGTCATATATAAGCATGATTATGAACCTATTTATCTATGTTTGTTGATTTTTGTGCATAATATTGCTTGATTTTGATTGATTTGCTCTTAACCTAGGTGATAGTTTCATCCCCGTAGGTCAAGAATGCTTTAGACATCAATAAGTGTTGGATTGTTTATATCTTATTTGTCTTAGTTGCAACCTAGATTATAGGGAATTATCATTGTCTTGCATATGAGTTCATGGTATAATTGAGTTTGACTAGGGTACTTAATGCTTCTAATTAGGGTTTAGATGTGTGAATGCCTCTTACCCCGATTGGATGACCTAGAGGGTTATCTTGAGGTCGAGGTGATCATCCTCTGCTAGTTAGATTCTCACCTAGTTGATGCTTGTCTATTAAATGTGTTCCATCGACCTACCCGACTTGTGTGCGGACGAATTTAAGCCGTTTAGAGGAGGTAGAACCCATCACTAGTTAGGTAAATCGGTTGAGGTGACATTGGATTGGCTATCCTAGCTAGGAGGGGGCCGATTGCATGACCATTGAATCAATCCTCATCTTCGTGACCTCCGCACCTCAAGATACCATTAGATTATCGCCCGTAACAATCTTTAGCTAGAGGAAATCGTCTGTAATAACCTATATCAAGGAATCAACCCTAGCGAAAGGATAATCTTGCTTAATTGATAGATGAAAAAACACGAGTTAAGAAAAAAAACATACATAAGAGATGGAACCCCCAAGGTAAGTCCTAGTGAAAGGAAATTTGTCTAATCGACATCTAAAAAATGTGAATTAATGGGGAAAAAAATGTTTAAATCTAAGCCTTATCAAGTCATACTCATATGATGTACTCTCCCACACTCCATCATCGGACCATTTAAGCAATTTTTTGTTATTTATATATTAATAATAATAATCTTATTAGGGTGACTACTTCGGTGCACTCACAAAAATAAGTGTGTTCAATGCATCCAATTCAAAAACTAGTCTTAAGGTGTCGGATTTTGAATTTTAATTTGTAGAATTAATGTAATATGATTATATAATATATGATAACAACTAATTAACGGATTGCTCTAAGCCCTAGACCTCCAATTTTGAGTTCTATCCATAAACCCTAACCCAAACCCTAAATCTCTAAACTCATAAATCCTTCAAATTAAAGTAAATCTTTAATGATTTTTTGTGCAAATTCATGTGCTTTATTGTTCATAATATCATAAGTGCTGATTGACATCATTTTGACATGAATCGCATATTTAAAATAATGGTTATGAAGCAATTGTACTGAATACACCAAAAAAAAAATGATAGCACCGAAAACGTGCATACTTAATAATAATGTTTAATTGAATCATGCTGTAGCCTGCTGTCCATTGCTACTTTCTCTGTTTTATTTTTTTAGTTCTTTTTCACCAATGCGAAATGACTGCGAGGCCATTTCCACCACTTCCTTTTAATCTCATTCCAGACCTCAGGGTTCCTAAATGGTTGGCCTGTTTCTGCAACACGATGTAAAAAGCGAGTTTCTATGTAGAAATGTTTTGATGATATAGAAGCGTAAAATCATAAGTTTTAAAGTGGAGTTTTTAACTACATAAGTTATAAAAACTTAGATTTTGTATAGAAGCGTTTTAGTGACCTAAAAACGTAAAATCGTAAGTTTTTAAATTTTAAAACACAATTTTGACTACATTGAACACGATAGCCCTCTTTATGTTCTTTGGAATTATCTGTGAATGATAAGCATAATCATCGTTGTCATTGAATAGACTTTGTTCCATTAGATTTTTTTTTTTTGCTTTCACAGGAGGCTAAAAAGCCACAGAAGGAGAGAGGAACAGGAGGGAGAGAGAGTTACAGAGAGGGGGAGGTGTCAACAGTACTTATGATGTTTCTAGGAAAAGTTTGACCTCTGAGATCATCACCAAGGATAGTAGTGAGCCCTTGGGGGGGTAAATCCAGATCACATTTACCGTAGGGATAGACGAGACTGTGCTTTGAGAGCCAGTCCGCGACTCTATTCCCTTCTCGATAAGTGTGAACTAGCTTTACCACCCAGTCTTGAGCTATTCTCCGCCTGATAGCAGTCAAAAGAGTGGCTTGAGGGTGAACCAAATCATTTCTCTTCTCTATAAGCTGTAGAGCCATCTGAGAGTCGGATTCCACGATGAGGGTTCTGCTGCCAGCTTGCCAAGCTACACCCAAACCATGATAAATGCCCCACAGCTCCGCCTGAACCGCCGAGCAAGTTCCCAGGTTGACGACAAAGCCCTTGAGCCAACCGCCAAGATGGTCCCTCAACACGCCGCCTGCTCCTGCCGGTCCCTGAGTCCCATTAGCTGCGCCATCAACATTAATCTTTGTCCAACCCGCCGGAGGGGGAGTCCACCCAATTTCTCTGAGCGTGCGATGAGCTGGTGCAGAGCCGCGCCCGAGGATGTCCTGCGGAGCCATCCAAGCTTTATGCCACAGAGCTGCCTTGATCTTAATTGCCTGGGTCAAGGAGGGCGGTGCTAAAGTCTTGTCACTCCCTTTGAAGACGCCATCATTCCTGTTCTTCCACAGGTTCCAAATCGCAATGCTGAAAAAGGCTTGCCAAGTTACATCATAGTACTGCCACAATCCAACGACTTAATTTCGAACGTTTATCAAAGCATTTACTCTGAAAGTTATGTGATTTGATGCTTAAAATGCAACCATCAAAGTCAATATAGTTATTATCTAAACACAGTTTACAAACTCATATACATCTGACGTTGGTCATACAAAGGCTGAACAAAAAAAAAAACTGATAATGAAATCATGACAGTTGGAAAAAACGTAGAAAAAGAATGCTCCTAAAAAGGCTGTCAAAAATCACAAGACTGCCAAACAGGTGGCGATCTCTTGTTCAAATTACAATTTACATCATATTTCACCTCCAAAAAAAGAGCATTTCTATCCCTCTGCATCACCCATCCTGCGTTGTTTTATCATTACCCAACCATTCATTCTTTACACCATATTTGCTTGATCAAGGTTCTCCCAGGCTGGCACCAATGGCTGCCTTATTGACGTGACTTTGAATCCCCTCCCTTGCTCCGAAAGTTTGAAAGCCAAAAGAAAGATCTTGGAGCTGAAACAATTGTGGGTTCGCAGATTAGTAGGTTTACCAAACCTTCTATAAGGACTTATAAGCTCAGCCTTAAGTTTAGCTAACACCACTACTAAGCATCACAGATTACATTAGCTCGGATCGTATGGAAGTCACGACTAGGGATGACAATCAAACTCATGATCGCGGGTATCCTTCCGCCCCCGAGTCCCGACCCAGACAACACAGGCAATCCCCGCATTGACTGAGTAAGGGGCGAGTACAGATAAAATCCGCAAAAAGTTTGATGGGTATGGGACGGGTATGATTTTAGCCTCCCCATACCCACCCCACCAAGAGCATTTCTTCACATATTACAAAATACATGGATCAAATCGTAACCTATCAATGATAGTGAGGGTAACTCGAGAAAATAAATAGTAGAAATTAAATTGAACATTTGCACGTCAAATTTTAGGTATAATAGGTTCGTTTATGATATAGTAGGTTCGTTTACTGTTATAATTGAAAATTTGCACGTCAAATTTTAGGTATAATAGTGTTGGATGTACGGGGCGGATATTACCCACAGAATGGGGATGGGGTTGCAAAACCTTCCCCTCATGGAATGGGCCGGGTATGAACCCGGATATTTACAAATGGGATTGTTTAGACAAACCGGCAAAAAACCCGCCTTATTGCTACCTCTAGCCTAGCCACAATCGTGTTAATCTCTATGTGGAATCCTAATGGGCAAGGCAAAGTCTCTGTAGAACAAAGCCCAACGTGGGATTTGGTCAAAGTTCCCTTATTGACGGAAGGACAAATCACAAGCAAAGAAGTACAGCAGAAAAATATGTCACCTTTGATTGCGCTTCCAGAAACATGATCATCCCTCAATTTGAAGTTTGCAGGAGGTGCTGGAATGGAGGTATGCAGAGCTTGAACTGAAAAACAAATTAAGAAAAAAATCACCTCATGCTCCATGATTGGCAAGAACCGAAATTTGAAAGTAAAAGAAGGAAACTAGGGAGAAACAGAAGAGAGCCTTTACAAAGATAGCCATGTGACTCAAAAAAGAAACACCGCATCACTATATACATAACTCATGTACAAACTTCAAGGCATGAAAGATTCACTGTTCTACGGTTATATTCCTGATGCAAGTCACCTCCATCCACTTTTCGACCGAACTCTAAGATACATAGTAGTAACATGGGGGTTTCCCCAAGATAGGAAAATCAGTTCTTCTTTTTGGTGGGAATAGGAAAATCTGTCCATCACATATGCAGCCCAACTTTCAAGCAAACAGAAAGACAGAAATGTAAACATGTATACAGCACCAGCTAAAGATGAAAAAGACTGTAAGTTACCTTGCTCATTGAATAATTCTCCATCATTAAAGCCGTCATCAGAAGGATGGCCATGTGAGAATCCCATCCTCGACTTCCTCAAGTCTTCCGACGACCGACTGGCTGGATCTCGCCCATCTTCTGTATCATCATCTCCTTCAGAAGTAGTTGCAGAAATCCAGTCAGCCAAAGTCTCGCCACGGCTTTTCCTTCCGAACTTTATCAACCTTTTGAAACCTCTTGTTGCATCTTTTCGGGAGTGGTTATGAGATGAACTAACAAGAACAGGTTTCTGAGCACTTCCCCACTTCTTTCTCATTCGAGCAGCAGCATCTGCTTCTGCTTGAGATAGGGAGTGAGAGTTCCATGATGCGGGGCTCCCCATTGGAGAATCCACAATGGCATCGACATCTGAGGTCTCGTGTTGATAAGAAAACGGGTGGTGCATGTTCCACGAGACAGGGCTTTCTGCTGGTGAATCTTCTACAGTACTGAATGCTGAAGGCACTGACGCAGGCAATTCAGCAACTGATGAAAAACTGACCCGAGATCTTTGAGGGTCACTGTTGTCTGATTCTGACATAACCATCTTCTCAGATTCCTGACTCTGTCTCGACTTACCATTATTATCAACATTCGTACAATCTTCCACCTCAGTTGTTTCGAGCTCCTCTTCTCCTACATCCCTAATCACGTCAGAACTATCCTCCATTTCGAAAGCAGAATCTTCAAATTCGTCTTCACTTCTCAAAGCCTCGGAGACAGCTGATGATGCTTTCAGTTTTGCCATACCTGGTCCCGCATCTGGACCTATCCCATTTCCCTTCTTCAAGAAGGTCTTTGACTCGGTCTGATTTTTATCAGATTTCAATGATGCCAAAACAGTTGCATCGGTTGTGAGAGATAAATCCTTGAACTCGGGAGGACCAGCAGTACTTTTCCTCAATGACTGAGAACGTCTCGACTTATTATCTTCTTTTGTGAGCGGTACATCTTCTCCGTTGCTCTTGCTGCGAGAGTAGCTTCTCGCCTGAGAACGGTTTGTGGTCTTGCCAGCTCCAGGAAATGGCTTTGTGTTCTCTTTCCTGAATTCTGAGAAGTTTGGAACTGATTGTGCTAGATGATTTTCCGATGGTGTCCTTCGCTTTCCAGAACTCGGGTTGGAACTTTTCACTGCTGACCGTGGAACAGGTGCTGCTGTAGCTGTCCGAGGAGTTGACGAAGACATATTCCGGGTTGATGTGAACTTCTTGTTCTGATCAGCTGCCTCAGTAAATGATTTGTCTTGTCCATAAAACTGTTCTGAATAGTCCGGGAGATCTTCATCCTCATCGCTTTGGATTAAGTTGACAGGCAGCTGCCAAAAAGTGAATCTCATTCAGTGAGAAGGGTACAAGTTTTGGTGATACAAGAAAGGTACAGACCATTAGGCAAAGCAGGCAACAGTAGGGAAAAAGGTCAACACTCATAAAAGTTCTCAGCATCAGCGCCCCCCCCTACCTGCTGTTTCTTCGCGCTCGAATGAACAGAGAATGATCTCAGTTTCTCAGTACGTCGACGAGCACGTGAATCCTGCTTATCAGCAGATGCTGAAAATTTAGATTTCATCTCGGCCTTGCTTCGATCAAGGTTATCATGCATAGCCTTCAACTTAGCTTCCTTCTCTTCCCTTTTGGTAACCCACTCTTCTCTTAGTTTTGCATCCCTCTTCTTCATGTACATTTCATAGAACTTTCCTCTAGAATCCTCAGAAAAACTTAGGTCAGAGAAATTCCTTCTCAATGAGCTGCTGTAGTCCGGTTGATCTAACATTTTTGTAGGCAGAGTGTTGAACTCTACTGTATCACTTTTTCCAATTGCTTCAAGCTCCACTTTCTTGATCTGAAAATGCATGGGAGAACTCTCCACTGCTGCTGCTGATGTTTTGTGAACCAAACTCGCTGTCTGTTGATCAACCTGTATCTCCATAGGCTTGTTTCTCCTATTGCAGCTTGATTGATCCCCTGGAACACGAAGTTTATGTTCTGCGAAAAGCTTTTCAAGTTCATTTGCCTTCATTTTCAGCTCATCATTCAGCTCCTGATTTCCCTTTGATTGCCTTACCCTTGGAAATTGCTCAACAGATGATGCTTGGGCAGTAAGGTGACTTCCCTGCAAATCCAGCATTCTTTTACCTAAATTAACTGGCTTGCTGCTTCCAAAAGGAACAGCACTCTCATCATTCCTATCCCGCCCAATAGAAACTGGCTTTTGCATCTTCACTATTGTTGGTGCTTCAAGGTTTCCCCCCTTTGTTGATTCCCTCCCAGAAAATGCAACATCCTTTTTCCCTGCTGGCTCGGCTTCACTGTTAAAGGATCTACACTGAGACTGAGATGCAGACTGATCGCCTCCAACCTCTTTATGTAGAAAGTTCTTCGGTCTCCCACCTAAGCCACCTTCAAACTGCCCTGAAAGAGATCTACCATGATTCCTAGGCCGTGAATGATTTGGGAGATGATCTCTTACCTCAATGTCTTCAACTCTCTTCCCAAATTCACCATCTGGGACCCTAAGCCACGAATGATTTGGCTTGTCTTCAATCAGCACAGGATCCTTATCTCCGCCCAAACTGTCTGCCTTACCCGATGTGACCACAGATCTCTCCTCCCGAAAGCCTAGATTCCCCGCTCCAGCCTGAGACACCCCTTGTTCTGTCCAGTTAACTTTATCATCCTTCAACTCTAACTCAGGGCCCTTCCCTTCAACACTAGTTGTCTGCGACTCACCCTGACCTTTCAACCCAAAGGCAGACCTGGGATCAGGTAAACCTTTCAAGTCCTTGCTATTATCCTCGGATGAGAAAGAAAAGGCAGTAGCTTTGGCTTGGGAGGCAGCAGATGACGAAGAGGGTGTACATAATGGGCTATCTGTGTTGTTTCCATCTTTTTTTTCGTTGCCTATATCTATGCTCATATCACTAGCTCCACTCCATCTCCTCAGCACAGCCTTTTCAGCTGCAGATACAGATGACACATCAGAGGATAATCTCCTTAACTCTGCAGATTTCCCCACAGATATTGACTTGCTACCAGAGTTTTCCTTCTGCTTGTTCTCAAACAGGTTAATCCTGTCTTGAACACTTAGCCGCCTGGAAGATTGGCTTGGTAGTCCAGGTGATGATTCAGCAACAGCTCCTTCCTTCTCTTTATTCTGCTGTTCAGGAAGGGAGGAAGATGTCTGTTCTCTAGTTTGAGGTTGGATAGTTGCGTCCAGGCTTCTTTGTTCTTGACCTGCAAGGTGTTTCCCTTGGAAAGAAGGTTGGTGGGACCCACATGGGTCTTCATAGGAGTCATCAATTGACATGTCTGATCCCCATGATGACCGGACAGCTTGATCCTCGACACGTAGCTTCCATTGATTGATCAAATCAACTCGTCTCTGGCACAGTGAGATATATTTGGTACAAGCTTCACTGCAGACAGCACACAACAAAAAGTTTAGTGATGTCTGAAGAACAAAATAAAGAAAAGGGATGCCATACAGCATGAAAAAGTTCTATTCTATTTAAGATTTAAGAAAATAAATGCAGAGGGAAAATGTGGTAGGAAGTACAGGGAAATTGGACCCTTCAACCAAAGAAAACAGCCTATTAACTAACAGCAAACCTATCACAAGTCGACATCCAGACATTGGAGGAGAAGACATTAAGATCGAATTATGTTTTATTAGCTTAATCATTTTGCCATTTTCCATTTTGGGACCATTTGAAGAAATCTGAATAATCTGATCAAGTATATAAAAGATAAGTTAAGCAATTGCAGGTTGATCAAAAGGCTAATGCATGCTCTTCTAGCTTTAAACTCGAAAAAGGAAGCAGATTTGAGCAAGGCACGAATAAATGAGGCGTAGACAACTTCTGCGACATTCCCAAGAGTCACCAAAGCACTCACTTAAGACGATAAGCCCCAAAGCATTCTGCAAAGAGCTGGAGTTCCAATATACTTTCAGGGTAGAAACCAGCAGCTAAAGCACGAGTACAGGCTGTAACTAAATCCTTCCTAACCGCGCTCAACCGAACATCTATTGCCCTCAGAAGCTCTTTCCTGCAGAAATGGCAGTTAGGAAACCCATCTCAGTTAATACAATAACAAAAACAGCTCCAATTTTATAGAGAATGCATGAAAAATAACTTAAAGTAAACACTGATGTTCATGATTACACCTGTCGACATCAAGTGAACATGTTCAAACCTACATGGTATTTAGGAACAATCACGACGAAGAAACATAAATTCCAGCACAGCTGAAATCCACACATTGTGAAAATGAAAAACAGGAAAATGGGATAGGGAGACATACTTTGTTGCATCAGCTCCTCCCAAGGAGCCTGTACCATCCTCGCCTGGACAGTTATCCAATTAACAAGTAAGCGTACAAGTAACAGCACATAACCAAAATAAAATTTATATATATCGTGCAAGAGAAATTCAGTGTAAATTAAGATGCCTACAGGCTCAAAGCTAAGGATGCAAACATAGTAAGAGACACCTAGTATTTATTTCTCAGCTACAAAGTAGATGTGATTGATACGAACATGAAAAACACATTGAAGTTCCTGTGATGACAAAGACCCCTAATCTTACTTTTCCCCCATTTTATATCAATACCACGCCCTTTCCACACCAAGCTTCAGATTTGATGAATTATCAGCCACCAGGAACATCATTGTGTGGCACTATGGCGGACAGGGAGACTAATATGTTCTTGTCACAAAGTTCCATACGGCTAGACCACCCTGCGCCTATTGTCCCCCCCCCCCCCCCCCCCCCTTTAATGAAAACCTCTGCAGAGGCACTCAAGGGCTGGCCTATTCTTAACTCTTCCCAAGACATTGCTAATCTCAAGCAAGCAACATTGCAACTGAAACACAAAAATGATTCAAGTTCTCAAAACACAATTCTAATCCCAAGGCCAGTACCATCGTCAGACCAATGCCACGAAATATTGACCAGCAAACACTTCCAAGTAGTTCCAACCACCAAACCCCTTCCATCTCTTGTGAGACATTTTCTTTTCTTCCTGATTAATCCGTCTCGCATGAGTTGCAACCAGGCATACATTTATAAAATAAGCTTATGGCAAAAACATTTGAAACTACAGTAGATCCTCTCATTACAATCACCATAAAGGAGAGTACTTTAAGCAACCCCCTAATTAGAAACATCGTGGAAAGAAACAAGCTCAAGCATTTGAAACTACATTAAATTCGTTCATTAGAAACATCATAAAGCAGACTGCTTTAAGCAGTCCTCTAATTGTTTCTCGTCAGGGGAAGAAATAAGCATACCTGGCTACAAAACAGCTTTCAGCCAGATCAGACCATATTGCACCTAAACCAGACTCTTTCCTAATGTAGCAACATTTCCACATGCTTTTCTACCAAAAAAAAAAAAAAACATTTCCACATGCTTCTATTTAGCTGAAAATCGCAAGTTATGGATTTTCACACCTATTGGCTATTGCAACCCAACCATTACATTTAAAATGAAAAGAATAAGATGAATTAACATTTTATTATTGTGGATAAGCAGTAACATAATTCATGAGCTTGAAATTCAAGAAACATGGCATTTTTGTTTCTTTAACAAAGTCAAAATTATCTTCATGGAATTAGATTGCCAATAACAGAAGAACACACCTGAACTAGAAACCTGGCCTCCAATCCCCTGAACGAGAAAGTACGAAATCGGTGAAAAGGCCCATTTACCTATACCAAAAACAATCTGCAAGACCAAATGGTAGTTATTACCTGAGAGTATATTTTCCGAGCTCCTTCCAATTGGGACATCTCAGCATCAAATGTGTTCACCATCTCCAAAACCTCGGGTGTGCTGACAAACCGCACAAACCTGAAAAAGTAAAGAATGTAAATAATATCAAATGTTGAATGCAACAAGAGAAGAATTGGCATAATCAACAACAACGAAGATTAGGTCTGCAGGTAAACCTCTCCAGTGTTCCTTTGGTGAACCAAGTCTCGGCATTTCTATGATTGCCAACTTCAAGTTTAATCGAATTAACTGCCTGCGCAACCTGCTCTTCTGCAACCTTCAAATGAGTCGCGAATGGCTTGACTAGTCCTGAAGCAAGCTTCTCCGTAGTCCCATTCCTCGATACAAACAGCTCACATCTGCCAAAACAATATTAAAGGAGCAATAATCAATAAGAGCCCACAAATAGGCATTAGAAGAAGAAAATCCCACAAAGATAATACTCACCGTGAGCGCCTTGGGGACAGTTCGAAAACAGCATAATCAAGAGATGTATCAGGCCTCATTGCCTTCTTTCTACTAAGCTTAAGCCACCGGTTCAGTTGTTAATCCCACCATAAACATATTCACTCCTGTACACAGAGTCTGCAGATCGTTCAAATCATTCATGATCAGGATTCGTAGCTATCTGTAATCTAGACACCACCCATATTGCCACTAGGAAAATGTCATACAAGAAAAACAATCAAATTAAGACGGTAATGCCCGGAATTCACCAAGTGCTAAATGCGGGAATGCTCAGCAACATCCTACATGGACGGATCTAAAGCCTACTACGTTACTCTAAATGGAAAGAGGAAAGCTGATTCAGAGCCTCCAAGCATAGCCCAGATCTGACTGGTCATCAATCCCAAACCCCAGAGTGCATTAAACTAGTAAGCAAATGCGGACTAGCTTAAACGACCCCAGAGACCAAATTCAATGCCGAAACCGGACCAACAGACCCATCAGTGAGGGGGAAAAGCACTCACTAGTAGCAGAAATCAAAGGCACCAACTTCGAATGCACAATGGCGGAAAAGGAAACGACTTTACTAAAACAAATCCGGAATTTTGAAAGGAAATGTGGTCAAAGCATTACCTTGGAGGAGAATGAGAGAGTTCGTGGGAGATTCTCAGTTGATTCGTGTTTCAAATGAGAACCTGCATTTCGTGGTTCTTTCAAACCGGTGGGAGGGGAAAGGAAAGACTTCAACTTTCCTAGTGGGGCTCCGCGGATTGTTTGTGGGTGGGGGGAATGGGAAGAGAACCCTAAACAAATCAGAGAACCCTCAAGCAGCTCAGAACTATATCAAGGTGTTGGAGTTTCTTCCCAACTGGTTTTTCTTTTGCTTTGCTTTACTTTACTTTCTCCACTCTCCCTGGAGGACTGCGTGTGCGCTTTGTGTAGTACAGTGGAGGGGAAAGAGCAGAGAGCGTTTGAGGTTTTGGCTGAATTGGCTCTGCCGGTGTGTGTTTGTTGTGTGTATGTGTTATTGTGTTTGCTTGCTTACGTTTGAGATTTTTTTTTTTTTTTAGCATTCCGAATTCCGATTGATAGTTTATAACTCATTCCATTGGTCGGAATGTTCATATTTGATTATTTATATTTTTATATTACGTTTGATTCTATCGATCCATTTAAATTTGTTGATAATTTTTTGATCGAGATGATACATAAAAAAATAATACATAGGCAGTACTTTCGGATAAATAAGAATATAAAATATAAAAATGTATCATTCTTCTCATTTTCATAATGATAATTAAGCCCCAAATAAAATGTTATTGGTTAGTTGATTGTCAAGAAAGATAGAGTACAAAAACTCACTGGAATTCTCACACGACCCATAGGTAGTTTGAAACTCAATCTTAAACCTCACAATCCTGCATAAAGGGTTCAATGCTCTCTTTTTAGGAACAATATGCTAGTAATAAAAAAGAAATGAAGTGTTGTTGATTCAACTTTCAAGTCAACTATATACTAACAACTCGGCTAAGAGGGGACCATTAAAACTTGAGAGCAAACGACAAAATTAGGGTTACCTCCAATATGCTAATAGACTCGATCAAAATAATAAGTTACAAGATTAGACACCTTTTATCTATCGATTCCAGTAGGTTGAATAAAGAATCGACCTAGCTGCCAAAACCATAAACCTAAAGGTCCAATGGTCACCACTCTCCGTTGTACAACCAAATTTTTATCTCAAGAGGCGTATGTTTCGATAAAAAAAACCAATCTCTAATCCTCCTTCTACAACTCCATTTATTCATTTATTGAACTTCATTCTCGTCGTCGTGGATTGATATCGGAGTTGAAATCTTCTACTTGCCTAGTTTAAATCCCCAATAATGAAATCGTAGTCCAAAGAGATACCAAAAGAATGATTTTCAAAGGCGGCCTTGTATTGGAAAGTGAAAAGGCGCAAACTATTGCATGACGAAGGGAATATCGGAGGAAGTTAAAAAGAGATAAGAACACATATAAAAAAGCACTACATTTAAATTTAAATTGAAAAATTCAAGAACACAACATGTAGTAACATAATTAGTTTCTTCTATGTTAACCAATTACCAATTTACCTTTAGCAAAAATTAAGGCGATAGCAAAAATTCTAAATTGAGAAAATTACATGAAACTCTACTATGAAACTGAAGTATCAAGCACCACAAAAACACATACGGCAGACTTTCAGTGCGCTTGCTAATCATGATGGAAAATTCCTCCAATTTTAAGAGTTTAACTTTGTGTATGTTTTGTGCTAAAAAAAATACAACAAATTTGTTTAGTGTAATTGGTTGTGATTGTTGTCTTTGTTTGAAGATATCTGAGTTCAAATCCTCATATTGATATTTTTTTATGTAAGATAAATAATTAATTGTAAAGACAAAAATGTCATTCCTACTTTTACTCTACTTGCAGAAAATCTGAAATGGAAAAAAGTTTACAAAACTCTCCCATATAATATACTAGTTTTTTACCCGCCCGTTGGCCGGTGTATTTTGTTTGGTTGTTTTATAATTTGTTATAGTATTCTAATTGTTATTATTATTTATGTTTGCTAAGGTAATATACATGGAATTGTAAATCTCACTTACCTTATTTCAGGTATTATTTCATACTTTTATACCTTTTGTTTATTTATGAACATTTTAATTTTATTAACTGAGCTCTTTATAGACGGTTCTTTATTGATTTAGAATTTTTTTTATCGAACTCGCCCTTTAAGATTATAAACATAAGAGATTATTCGTTCTTTAGCACAGAATTGTGATAAAGAAGTTAAAAAACTTACGGCCACAAAAGAAGAAGTTAGAATAAGAAAATGTGCTTCAATTAATAAAAAAAATAAGCGAAGAGCTTTTTATTTTCTCTCCCTTCTCATATGTCGGTATATGATAATAGAGAATATTCCGATCTAAATCCCATGAATATCGTGTATTATGACTTACACAAACAATTTTGGAATAATGAGGAAACTTATTAGCATCCACATCCATCAATCTTCCACGTATAATTTAATTACCTTGAAATGTTCTAGCAAAACCAACCACAAACAAAACTATTAGCTGTCACTAACTTATTAAAGCAATATTTTCAGCAAATTAAACTGCATATAATTAAACACAATTTATATTTTGTAGAGAGCTACATATCTCCTGCAGAAAAGAATTGTGCTTTATTACCTAATACAACATAGACAAATAATGAAAGGAGCAGTCTTCAATACAACTCAACTCATTTTATCATTCAGATTCCTCATTTTTGAACTGAATATATGCAATAATCCAAATAGTAGTCTGTAAGAAAACAATCATGTCAAAATCAATCTTTAATTAGGGATTCAATGCAGAAAAATTCACCTTAATGAAACAAACAAATGTCACCGCAAACATGTAGAAATTAAAAAATCATAGAAATAGACAACCGAGAAACCACCATTATCATTTTCTTTCTTCTTCGCGGCCTTTTTAAAACCCCAATTATGTTCCCTTCTAATTATAACCCCTTTGCTACCTACTATTACTAACCAGATCATCATTGTATAGCTAGCTAGTAGTAGCATGTCAATCATGAACATAAAATATAATAAAGAAGAAATATATTCACTCATCGAGAGTGGGAAAATTTATCATCCAGCAGTCGTAATTTGGAAGAAATTAAGAAAAGAATGGAAAAAAGAGTATAACTCGGCCAGTCAACCGCAAACAATAACATATCGCTGAGAAAGTGAGACCAGTTGCCAGCTTCAGATTCAAGAAGGAAGAGGGAGCAGTCGACAACCCAAAATTTTGTTATCTTATCGTTGTCTCGTGTAATTTCTGCCTCCTATTCTCATATAAAGAAAAAAAAAGCGCATGCATTACCATTTCCTTCTCTATAAATTATGAGAATACAAATATTAGAAATCTCAAAAAACTTAGCAACTAATAAGAGGGCTTTGTTTATTTTTATGGTGGTTGACATACTTTCTTGATTTCTTATTTTTAATGTTGGATTTTATTTCTAGAGAGACAATCAAAATGGGGAAAGGGATAGAAACAAATTAAAAAAATTCATTAATAATTAATATGTTTTCATTTAATCGAAATGAATAAGAAGTTTTTTAAAAAATAACAATTATTGCTCTGTCAAGTTTATATTCAGAAATTTTGCTATATATTTTATACTTGTTTTATTTGATAGGTATATACATAAGAAAGAAGTGAGTGTTTGATAGCAAAAAACATATAGTCATATCGTTCATTTCTCAAAGTCGATTGATTGTCAAACGTTTATTTTCTCATAGATCATCGTTTATATCTTGTATTGAAAAATATTAATATTTATGTGTGTGCTTGTTTTTTTCTTCATCAAAATGTAACTTATTATTAAGTTTTAGTAAAAATGAGTAGAAAATTTACTTAATCAAATTTAATCAGCTTGGGTTAAACAAATACAATATATGTCACTCTCTGTTTCCATCTTTATAGTTTGTTTAATCGAATTTTTTTTATTACTTAGGTGTGTGTTTTTTGTTTAAATGTTTCCTAAAAAATTAACTTATTTTAATTGTAGTAAAAATGAGTAGAATTATTAAAAGAAGAGAGAGACAACTTCATAAATAGATCAATAAATAGTTTTTTATTTGAAAAAAATTGTCCACCTTGGCAACTTGTGCATTCACCAAGTGCTTATGTGGCAAGAAGTTATTTTTGAATAGCCATAATATTTAGTATAGATAGATAGATAGATAGATAGATAGATAGATAGATATAGATTATTGGAGGAGGATTTTGATTTGAATATCTCTTTTTAACGAAATTCTGTTATTTTCTTCTGTCATAATTGAGTCTTTCTTTCCTAAATTACCATTCTATCCCAGTTCCCCAGTCCTCTTTCTCTTCATAATAATCCCAACTTCATTTTATGATTTATCAGATGATTCATATCATGATGAAAACATTCACAGATAAATCAGAGGCCTGAACAAGAAATGTCAAGAACATGGATTCATATTCATTCCATTACTAGAGATCTCCTC